ATGTCCTCTTCAGAGAAATTACTTCTGCCGCAGATATTTGCCAGAGCATTAGAACATTGAGTGTATGGACATATAGTTGCGATTCTTTAGTTAACTGCAATGGATTAGGTCCAAGAATTGCCAGATACATGTCTTGTCTCTTAATAGAGCACTTCACTGTTGCTTATATAATGAATACACAGTTACATCACATATTATTTTCTTTTCTCTTGAACTGAATGGTGCTGACTCTGGCTAGAACCTGGAAATGTGATGTCCTGTTTTTGTTTTTTAAATGACTTTCAGCATATAAGCAGATCTGGTGGCCTTAGCTTCCAGGAAAAGTACTTAAAGTGGTTTCCTGGCTTACTGGTCCAGCTTTCACTTCACTTCTACATATCAAAGGCAGTATTGTTGCTTCATTTACAAGGGTTATAGAGGAAAGTATCACTGAGTTTCATTTATTACTCCTTCTATCCACATGCAAGGGATGCAGGTGGTGCAGTGGTTTAAACTGCTGTGCTGCTGGGCTGGTTGATCGAAAGGTCACCGGTTCGAATCTGCACAACGGGGTGAGTTCCTGTTGCTCCATCCCAGCTCCTGCCAACCTTGCAGTTCAAAAGCATATACATGCAAGTAGATAAATAGGTACCACTTTGGTGGGAAGGTAACACCGTTCCATGCACTTTGGTGTTTAGTCATGCCGGCCACGTGACCACAGAGACTGTCTGCGGACAAATGCTGGCTCCCTCGGCTAGGAAACAGAGATGAGCACTGCCCCCTAGAGTCAGACATGACTGGACTTAATGTCAAGGGGAAACCTTTACCTTATCCACATGTAGCCTTGTTTTTTGGACCATTCTAAAGGGCCTTCATGAATAGGCCGTATTAGGCATAGTAACTTCAGTTTTGCAGTTCCATGGGTGCTATGAACAGTTATTTTCATAGTCCTGATACTTTTGTACTCTGTTAAGTTGGCAGCCTGTAGGGTATGCATCAACCACAAGCTTCTGCTTCAGTAAATTAAGAAGCCATCTACTTTGACTTGAGAATCAAACCCAACTTTAGGACTCCGGGGCTTCATGCCTTCCACTGACTATCACAGGAATATTTATTTATTTATTTAAGCTATTTGTTAAAAGTGGGAGAAAAAATTGAAGGCATAGTAGCCCCTCAGGAGGAAATTATACCTGCCAAATTTCAGAAAATAGGTGCAGCATTATTTGTGCTGTACAACTTGATATTCTGAGATGCTTAAAGAGAATTTCCAATAACCTGTCTATTTCTTAGCAGAATTGGATAAATTTTGTGGGTACACTTTTGCTCAGGAAGGGAGTAAAACTGCCAAGTTTTTGGTTGTTTTTTTTTTTTAATATAGGTTCAGGTCATTTTGTACAGGAGCAGCGTCTACATTTTTAGGGTATCCAAACCAGGATGCACTTATTCTCCTATGTTCTTTGTGAGCCATTCTGAAAATGAAAGAAATAGTAGAGATGGCCCTAAGCAAGAAAACCACAGAAGTGTAGAAAGTCATGTGTGAAAGGAGTCTTTAACTGGATTCATTTCCTCTCATTTTTGGGGGGCTGTCTGTATGAAAATGTCCTCAAAGATGTCTCCAGGGAAGAAAGCAATAAAGTTTCTGGAGGTACGGAGGTTAGGGAGTTAAACAGAATGTATGCAGAGTGTAAACAAACTCTCAAGGCATTTTCATAGTGAATGCTGGGAGACGGACTGTCCCATGGTTGCAGAGCCTCTAGCAAAATGTATCTTATGATTAGAGGATGGAACTGTCAGTCATTCAGTTGAAAGTATCCAAGCATGATCTCTTGGTATTTTTTTTCTTCTTAATGAAGTGGAAGATTCTGCCCCCAGCTCTTTTGATAGTCAACAATACTTCTAATTTCAGGTGAGTCTGCAGTGACTCTTGGTTCACCATAAATGAGGTAGTGGCAGCTAACCTTATTGTTCCCCCTTCTTTCACAAGGGTAGGACTGAGGATTACTTCTGCTGCTCTCGCCCCCACCCAAATACATACTTTGGTCATACTTTAGATGTGTGCTACCAGGCAGCACAATCTCTGTTACAGTGGAGAGGTGTTACCACTCTTTTTGGGAGGTGTGTGGGCTTTTGAGTTATTCCATGTTGCTTGACTCCTCTTTACATAGATGCAAGCTGTCATCCTATGGCACTGTAAGTACAGGTGTTGGGTAGCTGAAGAATTGGTACAGCTCCTGTCTCTTCTCCCACCCCCACCCCCACCGACAGTCACCTTAGCATTAACTTTAACTTTCTCTGGGAAGATGGCCCACATAAAGTTCCTGCCCTTCTTGTATCTGGTGAGTGGCAGCCTTTGGAAATTGAACTTGCTACTTCAGAATAAAAGGCATGAGGTTAACACTGGCAAAAGATCTGAATAAACTAAAACACAACACAGCATTCATAACAAAGTCATATGAAGATCATTGAATAGTTGACATAATGTAAACTTGGGAAATGCTTTTCCTCTGGATCTTTTGCTTACTGTCACATAGGGAAGATGTTTATAGAAGAGCAGACCCTTGGGGAGCGTTCACACAGGACCCATAACTCCAATCTGTTTGATGAATTCATTAGCCTAATGCTGAATTGCAGACCATGCTAAGAGCTGATTACTCATGTTGAACACTTGAAGTGCCTCAGTGGACAGATATTTTTATTACCTGATGGTAGTATTTGCTGTGTAGTGTTTTTTTAATGTGTGATAATTGTTTTCACACATTCAGGTTATTACAATGTTGCAGAAATACTAGTGACTGTGCACAGCTGAGGTAACTTTGATTCAAAACCAGGGTTTGTTTGTGCCCCCTTCCACAGATCAGATTTTAAAAGTTGCACATGAAAGAATCTGTTTCATTTACTTTCCCTGTGATAGTTACTAAGAAGCAACTTGAGCCATTTTGTCTTATGCTAGCACTTTTGGGATTGGTTTGTGTGGCTAGCAGTTAATCTGTACTCTTAGGTAGGTATGGCTTAACTTTTTCTATTCCTTTGTATAAATGTATGAATCAGAGTTCACTTTCTAATAAGCGGGATGCCTGTGTTGAGTAAAGCCGGACTTGCATCACAGAAAAAAAAAATGAGAGAAATGAATTGTTTGTCTGAACCTTCCTTAGTAATTCAGTGCAAATTTTTTATACATGGGTATAGACTTTCTCCAGGAAGTATAAAAAGTATTCTGGAGTTGCTGCTTTTGTGTTCTGTAATGAATACGATTGCATCTGTTCCTTAACAAAGGGCTAGACACTAGCTGGTAGAGAGAAATCTTACTGGACTTCATTTTCTCATGTGGGGTTAGGAAAGAAATTTTCTTAATTTAAATACCTTAAAATTCATATTAAATTCAAATTAATCACTATACGCTTCATGAATATCCTGGGCTACAGAAGCACACATGGAGAAGAGGCACATTATTAAACAGCAGCTTTTGTTAAATTATGGGGAATGGAGGTATATACTGAATAAACATTTGAAAGAACCAAACCTCTAGCATTTTCTTGTTCAGTTTAGGTCGTGATAAAGATTCTTGTGTTTCATGATGGTGTTTTGTAGACTTGAGTTTTAATGCAAGGGGTTCTGTCTGTTGGGCAAGACTAATTATTTTATTTAAGATTCAAAGGTCACATTGACCATGATGACTAAATGGGAGTTTCCTTGTTCAGCAGAAATATATACCTGAAATTTAGATGCTGAAATTAAACCTGGAATGGCCTTTATATGTTGTTTGTGAGCTTCCAGATTCCAGAGCCTGCAGAAAACTCCAACAGCTTTCCACTCCCTGCTTCTTTCCAAAATGTATCTGTATTTCTTTAAAAAAAAAAAAACCCAAACATATTAAAGTACCAGAGTCTCTATCTTGTTTCTGAACCTGCTGCTGATCAGCTCTTCAGAAGCCAGGAAGAGATGAGAAGGTGGCCCTATTAACTCTTCCATCCACACACAGTTTCCCCTTTGTACTTTTCTCTGCACTCCCAGCCTCTAGCCTTGCTACCCAACATGTTCCTTGGCTATTTCTCTCCCTTTTTCCATCCCTGGCCTTCTTCCTTCCTAGCCCCAAACCTTGGCCTTTCTCAGTCATTTTTTTCTTGCTGGTTCTCTCCATTTTTAGACTCTAGCCTTACTAATTCTCTACCCATTTCTTCTGGCTCCTCAAGCCTTCACAGCCACCATTACATGACTAGCCATTTTGAGATGGTGCCCACAGCATTTCTTTAATTCCTAAGATGTGTGCATAGGTCCAAAAACATCCAGGACCCTTACATGGGTAGTCCATTGTGCGGCAGGGGGATGTGGGCTTTAGCCTGATCCACTCTGATAGTTTCTTTTATTGATTCCTGATCCTCTAGGAGTCAGCATAAGAACATTGCTAGTTTAATATTTGCTAGAAAATACTTCCATGATTTCTCACGGTCCATAAACTTCTGTAAACTAACTCATTTTATCTTTTCAGGGGAGCTCCTTTTAGTGGCAGCATAACTGTTCATGTTTATTGGATTAATGTTGATTGGCTTGGAAGAATAATAGGCTTCCTTTTAACCCTTTAAAACTTTAGAATAATTACAGCTCTTAATATAAGAGGGAAGACTGTGTTATAATTTAAAAGCCTGCCTTTAATGTAGTCAGTTGCTTGTCCTAAATCCAAACGGATTTTAATTAAGATGCCAGGTTCTGTTCTCATAGCAGTCCTGGCTGCTATTAGTGAAACAGCATGCTCTCAAACAACACTGAAATGTCATCTTGCTTAACTAAAACCTCAATCCAATTCAGTACTAAGTTGCAAAACCAATAGAACACTCCGGATAATGTTTGAGTATGCTGAAAAAGATGCAGCAGTCATTGCTTTTAAAACAGAACAGTTATTATAAGCACAATTTTTATTTCCAGATCATAGACCTAAAAACTGCATGTAAGTAGCAACAAGTTGGTGAACAGTTGGACTCCCTGACCCTCTGCCTCTTTCTGTATTATGTTATGTTCTCTTCTAGGTCAATGTTCGAGTTACCACTGTGGATGCGGAACTGGAATTTGCCATTCAGCTTAACACTACTGGCAAGCAGCTGTTTGACCAGGTTAGTATGAGTGTGTGTGTCATTTTCTTTAAGTGCAGGTGAGTGACTAATCAGGGCTGCCCACACAGCACAGGAAGCTAGTGCCGCCTCAAGCAAACAGACGTTAGCCCAAATACTCAGAAGGGAGCTCTGCTGACTGGTCCCATTCTGGAAGCAAGTGTTTCAGCTTGCTTCTGGGTTTGCTGGAGGAAGTGGTAGCCTCCTGTGGAGGGCTGCTGGCTAGACAGAGGATGTACAGCACCAAAATTGGATACTGCCCTATCACTTCTGAAAGACTTCAGGAGGAGGAGGGAGGACTTTTCACTGATGGATCTTTGTTTACAGAAATGGGAGGAAATCCCTAACGATAAAAATTGGGCCTGAGTGGGCTTCCAGCACAAAAGTGATGATGAGTATTCTCTGGAACTGCAGTAATTCTTCACTTTTAAAATAAGCAGAAAAACCCCATGCTAACATTGCATTCTGTCTAGACATCTGCAGCTCTTCTTTATTTTTCCTAAAAAGTTGCTAGCTTATTTGGTTCCTAAAGAATTGTTTCTCAGGTTCAAGTACAGGTTTTGTTACATTGAATCAATGTGAGTAATTATAGAAAAATGCATTAATCATACTTAAACTGCTCAGCACCTGTCACTGCCGTAGGATTATCAAGTGGAAAGAAGAAAATGCCCTGTAATAATGAGGAAGTAGTAATGATTTAATGGTTTATATCCCAAAGAATATTGGAGAGACTTAAATGCATTTGATCTGCATACTTTGGAAATAGGCATCCATTTTGTTACTTTGACTGCGCAAGGATCACAGTGTCTCTTAATGAAAACTCTAAATCATTCTATACTGTATCTTTCGGGGATTTCTCTGAAAACTAGTAGCTTTAGAGAGAAAGAGAAAGAAAACATAAAATTAAGGAAAAATTAAGGGGTGCAAACATTCCTAAACATGTTTAAAAGAGTGTGAATAAGTGTGTGACTGATGGTATACAAGTTTGGTCATCTCCCATCTGCAGTCATCTTATCACTTAATAGGGTGAAAGAATTATGACGGCAAAACATTTGTATTTCCCCTTGAGCATATATTGGGGCTTTAGACTAGAGAGTGTAACAAACTGTAGTATGGAGGGGGGAGTGTTCTTCAACTCTCAGAGATCTCAAACAAACAGTACTTTGTTAGAAGTTATAAGAGCTTCCTTCTGTGATACTTTGGGTAGATACTTTCAACTGTAGCTGGGTATGAAAAACATTGTCTTAAACTAGTCTATTTACTTATTTAAAACTTTTCTATATCCTTAGCAGACAGTCTTGGAACAGTGTACAAACATTTTAAACAGCATAAAATATTCAAATATAATAATCATTTAAGTAATAATTTAAAACTCCACACAGTAACAACTAATCCACAGAAGCCAATCATATGAATAAAAACCAATATAAAAGCAGAACCTTCTATTCAGCAATTAAATAGAAGTTTTAATTAATATGATGGGACAATAAAAAGGTTTTAACCTGGTGCCGAAACGTATACAAGGTTGGCGCCAGGCACACCTCCCTGGGGAGCTGGTATCAAAGCAGAGCATCATAGCAGGGGTAAGCTGTTTTGTTAATAACAAGTGGAAGTATTGTTAGCTGTAAGTTCTTGGCCAGGGATTTAAAAGTGGATTTAGTGCAGTCTGAGCAGAGTAGGTTATAGCATGCAGATTTTGCATTTTTCATGTAGGAAATACTGCATGTTAGAGACAACCAGGAAATTTGAGAAGGTGACAACCTTCAGCTTTCTCAGGGAGCTACAAAGCAAGACTGTTTGTGGGAATTGTGGGTCAGTTTCACACTTGTCTTTCTGGAACATACCCAGGTTTGTAAAATCCTACATTGTGTCTTCCAACAGTATAAAAAATGTCTCCAAAAAGCTCACACAAGGCATGGTGGTGAAGTTATCTCACCTGTAGCATCTGAGACTCAGATGTATAGAGCCCTTGTAGGTAGAGGTTACCTCCTAACCTTAGTCTACAGTTTAGGTGATAGCTGGCCTTCAGGAGTTTGACAATCCTATAAAAAAAGCCAAGCTAATGCTGTCCAGTTCTGGGCACCTAAGTTTTAAAAAGATGCAGAAAAGCTAGAAAGGGACAGAGGAGGGCAACAAGAATGATTCAGGGACTGCAAGCAAAGCCCTATGAGGAAAGATTGAGAGAACTAAGCATGTTCAGCTTCAGGAAGTGAAGACTGAGGAGTGATATGAAAGCATTCTACAGGTACCTGAAAGACTGTCACAAAGAGGAAGGACAAGATCTCTTCTTGTTTAATCCAGAGTGCAGGACATGGAATAATAAGTTGAAAGAAACCAGATTTAGACTAGACACCAGGAAGAATTTCCTCACTGTCAGAGCAGTACAATAAGGGAACCTACTACCTAGGGAAGTTGGCTGTCCCTCACTACAGACATGCAGAAAACTTCTGGGCAGTCATCTGAATGGGATGGTGTCCTGCAGTAGCAGGGGGTTGGACCAGATTCTAGGACAATGGCCATTTTTGAACCTCCTAGGGCAGTCTTTCCCAAGTTGATTTCTTCAGCTTTTTTGGACAGCAACTCCCTTTCTTCTCAGTAACATGCCCACTGGCCCTTTTGGTTGAGAATGATGGAAAAAGCACTTCCTTTTTGCATGAAATACGTGAATTGATGAATGACTGTGTGTGGGAGAGAGGCGAGGTGTGTTGCTCCTTCCTGACCTTATCCTTATTTGAGGTCTCCTTATTTGAGGAGTGGCCCAAACCTTTCTTAAGAGAGAGGTTGCAACTTCTTATCACCATTGAGTAGCTACACCTTGTATCTTCACGCTTGCAATTATGGCTAAGAGATGACAGAGCAAATGCTGTGGGACTCACGCAGGTGTGTACATTCTTCTTTGAAGAACTTCTTTGCCATTGTTTACAGCCAAAACATAGTCCCTGTCCTGAAAAAGTAGCTTCTTGGTTTTTCTTGCTGTACTGTCACTGAGCCCTGGGAAGGTATTTGCACTTTCTGACTTCCACTGCTGGCACCAGTGACACTGCTACAGTTTATCGCATAAGAGGGCTACCTCACATGTTCACTCAGCATTAAAACGGTGCAAAGTATGGTACAAAGGAGGAGCTTAACTAACCTAGAAGAAAGCCTTCTGCAAACTGGTGCCCTCCACATATGCTATTCTGTAAGCCCCATCATTCTGATCCAGTATACTTAGAGGTTGTGCCAGTGGAGATGGGAGCTGTAGTTCGAACACATCTGGAGGTTAGCGGGTTGTGAATCCTGGCTTAGACTAAAGTTCTCGTTCTAACAAACTTGTTTCCGGATTACAGCAACGTCAATGTTTGTGCTGTAATAGTAGTAATAATAGTAATATCAACAGGCCTGTAAACCATGCCCTGAGGATATTGGGAGGAGCAGGGTGAGGCTGAAGACTGCATGAGCAGGCAATAAATGTTGTCCTTCAAGGCCTGGCAAAGGTAGCCTTTCATAATATGAAATACCCAGATTTATTTTACTGGGGATTAGTAAAGCGTCAGCTGTATATTCAGCAGTAAGGAACTAAAACTATTTGGGATTCCCAATGTATGAGACGGGAGGAGGGGGTGAACAAGCTTGACTCAGTCAATGTAAAGGAGTTTGAAGAGGCAATGTAGTACAAGACTCCAGATATCTGAAGACAAAGCAACAGCACTCGGTCAACTTTCCCAATCAGTTGAGTGGCAGTTTCCTCATCTTAGAGTTAGAAGCTTAAAACATGGTCATCCTATATAGCATCTTAAACTGGCTGCTTGGCTTAACATGCTGTATCAGACATTGAGAGTGGATGAAAATCCTCTGGACTCTGTATGTTCTGGTTAAACAGAATATTTTTCTTCCAGTTGAAGTATATTCATAGTTCTCATCTGTTTTTTGAACCTTCTTTCACATATCCTCTAGAATTCTACATATCAAATGCTGTAAAGCATCCACAGAATTGCCTTCCCCACTCCAGTATTCACTAATGGCTATGATGGTTAGGGGAGATGGGAATTGTCTCCAACAGATCTGCAGGACACTTAGTTGTGGAAGGCTTAAACATTTTATCAATTATACATTTTATGACATTGCTGTGATGTGCCTAGGATTGCCCTGGAGCAGCCTTCCCAACCGGACACCCTCCAGATATTTAGGATTTCAGCTCCTGTCAGCCTCAGCCAGCATGATTAATGGTCGGGAATTCTTGGAGATACAGTCTAAAATACCTGTAAGACACCATGTTGGAAAGGCAGGCTGCTCTAGTGGATTGAATAAGAAAGAGATGGACCTGATCATACTTTTGCAAGAAATCCCTGATTTAGAACATACAGATCCTAATTTTCCAGTCTTGAGACTAGATCACATGATGTGCTGCAGATTTGTCAGAGTGCCTTTGGACTCCTCCCTTAATTCCTATTAAAGCTCACTGCCCAATTAAAAAAAACTAGAGGGGCAATTCTCCCCCCACACACACTTAGGAAGCTGGAAAGAGCTCTGGCCTTCAGCAGCCCCTTACCCTTGTCCAGCATGTCTCTGGGCCGCAGTAGGGGTGCCTCAGTTTTTGGCAATGCTGCAAGCAAATTCAGTGCAAATAATTAGAACAAGCAATGACTATAGAGATGATGGAAGGTAGAGAGGATCACAGTAGCACACAACTTTGCTAGGTTTTGGTCTTTACAGTAGAGGGACACACAAAGGTATATCAACAAGACTCAGTCACAAAATTCAGCATCTTCAAAGGGACAAATCTCAGAGGAAATCATGCTACAGATGCATGCTCCTCTGATCAAGCTGGTGCTGCCAATTCAGCCAGTGCTTTTAAAGCAGTTACACTGTCCATTAAAAATTTAATTAGGTTTGGAATGAGCTAAACTACTCATGAACCAGAAAGCTTCCTTCCTTAATTGTGCTGAATTCGTACTGTAGAATAGATTTAAATGTAGTCCTGCAGAACATAAATTAACATAAACTGGTTTAATATTCCTGAGACAAGACTGCTGTCTCTTGGCTGAAAAACAAGTTCTTTGCCATGAGACTTTCCTGGAACAGATGGTTCCAAGTATCTTTCTCTACCCACTCTTTAGGGGCAATGTTCTGGGGCCCATAGGGAATATAAAGAATTGGGTATCAGCAAAATTGGACACCCTACCTTGAACAAGCAGAAACACTTTCCATAGTGCGAAGCCACCAATGGATGAATCTATTTTTTTCTTATTTGATTTTCCTCTTGGGTTTGTTTCAGAGGAGGAGGATTTTTGAGTCCCAGCATATTTGTGTTTAATTTTTTTAGAGATCAAAGTTGCATGAGGCTCAAGTTTTCAAGTTCTATTTAATTATTAGTTCTTTTCCCATCTTTGATACTACAAAAACACTGTCTTGCCTTTAAATAGGGCATCTGATATTGCGCTTTCTGTATGTATGTTTGTTCTCATTTTGTTCCAATTAATTGTTGACATTAAATTAGGTACTGTTTAAATTAACTGTCACTAATAATTTAGTGTTCCTGGAGGTGACAGTCCCTACAGAGTGTTAATTAAAGGAACTGCTATAAATATGCTCATTGGCTGTAAGGGGTGATGCTGTTTTAGCTCTTCCCTATAAATCTGGTTTAGAAGTTTGCACACAAGAAAAGGCTTTTAATTATGCTACTTTCAATTACTTTTATGATAATGCAAATGTATTAATAAAAATAAATGCACAACCTTTAACCTAAAATATTTTCCACAAAGCAGAAGCTGCTACTTCAAAAGTGCTGCATTCCAAAGATCTGTGAGACTGCTTGAACAAAAGAACATTTACTTTTTAAAATGTTCTAGTTGTTACACAGAACTATCATTATTGGCACTAATTTCAGAAAGCTGTAACAGCTTTCAAACAGCCTAGCATGGTTTTTCTAGTTTAAGTAAGCTCATAGTTCAAAGGCACAGGTCCTAGCTGGATGTTTCTTGCACAAGACTTGTTTCTAACTGTTGCCATTGAGTTCTAAAATAATTATTTTTATTTTTAAAATTATTATTTTTATTAGATGCGCTGATCTTTCTTGTACACTAATTATTCTTTTAAGATTGTATATAGTTAATCATCAGCCTTTAAATTGTGCAGCCTTTAAAATCAGCATTTCTTTTTGTCACTTGCAGTTATGAAAACAACCACAAAAGCAGTTGCCACTTTCTCCTTACATCCCCCTCCACACTTGAACTTGCTTATAATATGTATAGAATCATCTAGATGACCTGGAAGGCCACTTCTTTTTTTAAAAAAAAGTGGGTAAAGAGGTGCTCAACATATTCATGTGAGCAATTGTTTAAAAAGACAATTATAGCAGATATGCAAAGTGGTAGTTATCTGATCTTCTACATTAACTCTTCTCTCTTCTTCCAGGTGGTCAAGACTATAGGATTGCGTGAAGTGTGGTACTTTGGTCTTCAGTATGTTGATAATAAAGGATTCCTGACCTGGCTGAAGCTTGACAAAAAAGTAAAAGAAATTTGAAATTAACCTTGACAATTAAACCAGAGTCTGCATGTGTGCTCTGGCACTGTTTAATTTATAACAAAAACCATCCTAAATGTTTGGGGCAGGAAACCGTATTTGTAATTAAAAATATTTCATTCAGTGTTGGACTACTACTGAGTCCAGTGGGACATATACCAGAAACTGGCCCTCCCTGCCAACTTACGTTTTCCCTCCCAGAGCCATCCTTACTATACTGTAACAGGTCTTTGTAATGATATTTTGGTTTGTGCACTGGCAAGAAGAAGGAAAAGATCAGTTGGACATTTGTCCCCTCAGTTGTTTGTCAGCATGCCCTTAACATTTTATTTATTTATTTATTTATTTATTTATTTATTTATATTGTGATTTATATCCTGCCTTTTTCCTACAAAGAGCTCAAGGCAGCTTACATCATTCTCCTCCTCCATCTTATCCCCACAACAACAACCCTGTGAGGTAGGTTGGGCTGAGAGTCTGTGACTGGCCCAAAGCCACCCAGTTGGCTCCATGGCTGAGCGGGGACTAGAACCCAGATCGTCTGAGTCCCAGTCCCATGCTCTTAACCACTACGCCACACTGGCTCTAAATGAGACCCAGATAACTGTGTAATAACGTGCTCTTAGTCACTATTAGTCTCCAGTGGGGCATGTAGGACAAGGAGTCACGTAAACCTTCTCATGTTGAAATTGGCATTCTGAGTTGTGCCTAGGGAGCCACTTATATCAGGTGCTCAGTCTAGGGCACCCAAGGATTACTGTTGTGACTTTCAAAAACTAAATGAAAATCTCATGCCAGAACAACAACAAAAACCCCAACCCACAAAGAAATGTGCCACTTCAAAACATTTCAGCCCTCTGGCAAACTGAATACTTGCTTGGTTTCTGTGCCTACGTACTGGCAATCTGACCTGTTAGTACAGGGGTGGCCAGTCTGCTCAATGGAAGAGCCACATCCAGTAAACGTCATATGTTTGAGAGCCATGAGACATGAACGAATATTTATGCATTATTATTATTTATGTATTGGGACTTTATGAAAGTGTGTTCTTGCTTATCAGTGTATGATTACTTTTAATGTGCATGATAAGACACATGAACACCTGGAACACTAACTGTAGGATGCCCTTCCCAAAGAAATTGACCTTTAGAAATGAGAACTACTCAAAGTAAATGTCATATTAATCAAAAATAATTGCCAGCAGCCTTGGTAGACTTCAGCAGAATCATGCCCATGCCATCACTGGGATCCAGACCTGGGGTGGGGGGGATGGAGGTGGGGAGACTCTGAACACTCTGGGAGCTGCAAAATAAACTCAAAGAGCTGCATACAGCTTCTGAGCCTTGGTTTGGCCCAGCAAGCTTGAAATCTCAGCCAGAGGTGAACTGTAAACTAATACCATGTACCAGATCAATTATAAATTGATGTTTTCTCCAGTCTGTCACTAGCCAGGGAATTAGCTAACAAAACCTGACTCTGGGTAGCACACTGCAAAGGGAATGGAAGTTAGTCTACCATTGATTCTTGTTCACAAATAGCAAGAGAGCAGAAGACCTGCCTCTTTTTTCTTTGTGTAACGAAGATAGTTATGTATCTTTCTGGAGAGCTCTTCAGAGCACTTAAGTTATGCAAATTTTAGTGCCAAGTTTCTAAATTTGTTCCAGTTTCCCCACCTTTATGTTTGTACAAATGTTTCTGACAGGTTAGGGAACAACCTTCAGTAACTACAGAAGTAATTTCCTCTTGGATTTTCCCGTTTAAAGGCAGCAGGTGGTTGGAAGCACCTATGAAGCATTTCATCAAATAAAGACCAGGACTGTTGTTATATGTATTGCTGTCCTTTGTTTTGAATGCATGCAAAGCCCTGGGCAGAAGGCAGAGAGCACAGAGCAAAATTTGCTCTTGAAAGTAGAAAGTCACTGTAGTAAGGCTATCAGGTGAAACACATCTGAAAATATCAGCTCTTGGCCAACCATGGGACTAACTTCTGAGATTGCATTCAGAAACCATAGAAGTCAAAATGTTTAAGGAGTAAAAAAAAAAAGAAAGAAAGAAAGAAAGAAAAAGCAAGCAGGTAAAGCCAATTATTTGAAAGTAGATTTTCTGGACAGTGTAATTTTCCATGCCTAAGTAAATTCCTTGATGTTAAGGTAGACAACTTGTTTTTATAATAGATTTTGTGGTGCTTAACAAACTTATCATTCTTTGTTGCCCCTTTCCTCCCTTTCAGGTCTCTGCTCAAGAGGTCAAGAAAGAAGATCCTCTGCAGTTCAAATTCCGTGCAAAGTTCTTCCCTGAAGATGTATCTGAAGAGCTGATCCAGGACATCACGCAAAAGTTGTTCTTCCTGCAGGTGAAGGAAGGAATCCTTAGTGATGAGATCTACTGCCCCCCTGAAACTGCAGTCCTTCTTGGCTCTTATGCGGTGCAAGCCAAATTTGGTGACTACAGTAAAGAAATACACAAGCCTGGATACCTCAGTTCTGAACGTCTGGTCCCCCAAAGGTAAGATGTCAGCTAGAAACAGTGCCTAAAGACATTCAGTCCCTTAGATCTTTCTTTTAAAATGGGCATGTAAAGATTTAAGGCAACTTGCTCACCACTGAGGACTAGTTTGTAAACAATGAAGTGCCACAGCTAATTTGCTTCATTTGTGGTGTTTGTTTTCTAAAGTTCAGATGAAGCTATCACACATGAAATAGTGATGTAGCAAATATGTTGTAGTTCTTTTTGTGATCTGGCACAATTTGAGACATGAGAATAGAAGCAACTGTTATTAGAATCTTTTAGAGACCTCTCCACTGATGGAGCACAGCAACAAACATTAATTAGCAAATGAATACAGTGGCATTTAAGAGGACTTGGGATGTTTTGGAGGTCTTGCAAATATTTCCTATTGGATTTGAGAACTGTTATTAGTTAACACTTCTCAGTTGGGTTGGTCTCTTATTCAATTCAGTTCTAATTTCAGACTCACAAAAACATGGGCTGCCTTTAAGCAATCTTGAGCTTTGATATGTTATCAGTTTGGGAATTTTTATATTGGGCTTTTGCATTTCTTGGCAGCCATGAAGTCTAGAAATATGACATTCGTTTTTTCAATTATTAAAATGCAGAATTTTTAGAAGTCCCCCTCCCTCCCTCATAAGTGGGATAATTCTGTATTCACAAGCAACAGATGGACACAAAGACGCAGGACTATTTCTGTGGGAGTAAAGTTACATCTTGGGCAATCAGTCTTATAGAAGAAAGGCCTTTCCTTTTTTTTATTCCCTGAAATGTTAATTGTTTTGGTGTTTCTCTTATTACTCACTATTCCTTACCTTTGAATAAAACTCGAGATTTCACAATAAGGTGCAATGCCTCTGTTTTGAGTTTTGCATGACTGCTTAGAGCTGGCTAATACAATCTAGTTGCCAAGATGAAGTCATAGTCTGTAGAATTTGGACCTTTTCTTTGCAAAATTCAGGGGGCACAGACCTTGTGAAATAATGCTTTGGAGCTGAACTCCCAAGTTGTACAATTTGTAATTTCTTTCCACTTTACCAACCAAGAATGAGATTGACATGTTTCTCATGTAAACTTTGTAGGCAGGCTCCCTTTTCCAAAGCTTTACAGGGAGTTTTGTGTTTGTGTGTTTGTTTCAAGTAACATGCAAGCTTAAAAGAACACAGCCCTTTAAATATTCCAGATGGAACCTTTTTAGAGGACCCACAAATCTCACAGTGTATCTTTTCTTTGTGTGTTAGAGTTATGGATCAGCATAAGCTCTCCAGAGAACAGTGGGAAGAACGGATTCAGGTCTGGCATGCTGAACATGGCGGAATGCTTAAGTGAGTTATGGTGTTGAAGCAGATTGTCTCCCTTAATAAACTTACTCTGTTTTCATTAAGGATTTTTTTAGTAAAATATTTTGAAGACCCACAACATTTGACACTCCCTCTCTTCACTGAGCTTTCAGCTGGGAGTTAGACAGTAGCCAAGAATGTCATTAGGTTCTTAAAACATCTTTTACTCTGAGGGGTCATCTTTGCATTCATTATACAGAATGCACAGTGGATAGATACACAGATTCTAGAGCTTGTGCATACTGTATGAATTAAACACAGTATTCTTGGGCTGTTGAAATGTGATGGTCCAGGGGGAAGAAGACTAAGCTGAGGTTTGGCAAAATTGGAAATTGGGGCAGAAAATGAATTGCAGCTATTCCGTAGTGTGCTGAATTGTTTGCATGGTTTCTGTTGAGTCACATCTGCTTTCCCAGAGGGTGTCTTTATTTCTTTACTGGTGCAAAGGTTCTGTACCAGCCTTCAGAACATCTGCTAGCATTTCTGATGTATGATCTCTTTGCTGTCAACCAGAGAGAATGCCATGCTCGAATACTTGAAGATTGCCCAGGACCTAGAGATGTATGGAATCAACTACTTTGAAATCAAGAATAAAAAAGGGACAGACCTGTGGCTAGGGGTAGACGCACTTGGACTGAACATATATGAGAAGGAAGACAAGTAAGCTAAAATTCCCCCCCCCTGTGAAGTTTGAAAAATTGGCACTGGTGTGTAAGTGTTCACTCATTATCTGTGTTGTGTATTTTTATAACAGTCTTATCAAAGCAAGTCACCTTGCTTTTCAGCATAAGTGTGGCAGAGTGCAGTTGTGCTGAGGTACACATGGCACCAAAGTGACTTGCCTTCGCCTATCTCCAGACTGACATATTTTTCCCTTACCAGCACGTTGCCTCAGAAGGGCAGGCAGGGGTGAAATGAAAGAATCCCTAAATGGTGCAAAAGGCAAATCGTGTATTGAATAATTATGATAGGATTGGAATAAACTACAGGGGCTGTCAAGTCTTCAGGGCCCCAAACTAGCAAAAACAAAATAAATCCTGGCCATACCTGGTAGATGTGAATCTGGAAGGCTATCCAGGGGTTGGAGATTTGAACCAATGGATGATGTAGAAGAGGGTCTTTATATACGGTACGTACTTCTGAGTGCTTTGAAGAGTTGGCCTTCCCCTGCCTTTGGGGGGGCTGCACTTGAGTTGCATGAGGGTTGTTTCCCCTGCTAGCAAGCCATGCCAGCTGGGTTTGGATGTCACAAGAAGTTGTCCCTGGGTGAGTGAGAAGGCAAATGGTTCCTGACATAGCCCATGGCTTGGTTTAACCCATGGTGATCCACCAGACCATTTTCTTTGCCCACCCTGTGCTTCCACAGAAGATAGGAACTCGGACCTGATGTTTACAATATGTTCAACTCATGGGAATAGCTTTAAGTCACTTTCCCTGTGGTAGTTTTCATCCTGTGAACCATGCATGTGCATACACTTTTAGCCAGTAAAGTTGGAGTCAACCTGGAAGCTAATCAGGATGAATCCTCTGGCATTCACAGATTTGCAACTGATCTTTTAAAGTCTAGCTATAGGATCTCTAATCATGGAGGAGAGATGGGGAAACAGCAGGCTAAATCAGGAAATGAGAAAGAGGAAATGTAATGGGAACAAAAAAGCTGTCCCTGTTTGCATGCTTGCTTAGTACAGGAAGTACAGTAGATGCAATACCAGGCACCAAGAATAAGGGTTCGAAGGAATTTTTTTAAAGGCGCATTCCTGAAATGCAGCAGTTCTTAGTTCCTACTAACTTTGCTGTCATTTGTGTCCAAGGTGAGCTATAAGCAATGTTAGCAAAGGAACAGACAAGTGCTCTTCAAGGACTGGAAATAGCATAGGATAGGCCTTAAAGTTGCTTTTAATCAAAATGGTATTGAGACCACAGAGAAAGCATGTTTTTTCCCTCTGTAATGCTATTGTGCACCATCACCCAGAAAACAGGGAGTGTCACCCTAGGTATTGCATGAGTGAAACTGCTTCTAGTTTCTTGAATGGCTGGCTTCTTTGTGTAGCCAGGGTCAGCCAAACAGGTTTTGCAAGCTATGTAGGCCTGCAGAAAGGGAGGGAAATTGTGGGAGGAGGAATCCACTCTGCGCTATAACTGCTGGTACAGCTAACAATTCATAATCTTTGTAACGTGAAATCCATAGATTCCCTCACCTCCCTCGCTTTTCATAGCTCGATTTCTTGTTCTTTCAATTAAATAGAGCTGGAATATACATACAGAGCTGCAGGTTGGAAGAGGGCAGTCCACACCTATGGATGATGCAGAGTTTCACATATAAAGGGCAGGGGTTCTGCTTTTCACAATGAAAATAAATTTGAGTTCTCCGATATTTATTGCTATGCCAGTGTTTTAAATTGGTGAGCAGTGGGCTGAGATTAAAACATAATGCTTCAGAGTGACAGATACAGCACAGATTAGACTCCATATGAGTTTATGTGGCTCATTCGTTTATACAGAAAAAAATGATATGGCTCCCATCATTCCCCAGCCATCCTGGCTATCTGGGAAATGCTGGTAGTTACATGATATTTTTTTATTTTTAAAAATGGTTAGGATTGCATCATGAGTAACCAAAAATTTGTTTTTCTGCCTTAGGGCAGATCTGACAGACCTGTTTTACATAATTGCTCTGGCTTGAGCAAGCCATGGCATGTGCTCTCCCATGGTCAAGTGTAGCTTTTAGTGCTGTCTGTACCCAGGCAGCAAGGTTTGTTGGAAGGATGAGCCAACCTCAGATAACACACAGACTTTAGTTGGGCTGTTTGAGGACTGTTTTCCCTCCAAAAGGCCATGCCACCTGAGGTCAGATGAAATGAGTAGATGTCCTTGGGTGAGTAGTTAGTCAAATGGTGGCTGGTACACACTGTGCCTATAAACAACCACTGTGGCTTATGATCATGTGGAACAAGCCTAATTCAGTGCAGATCAAGAATGGGCAGACTTCAGGCCTCGGGCATCTTACTGTGTATATTACAACAACCCTCAAGGTCTACCAGCTGGAGCTGTTGGGGTGGTCATACATATAGAACTAAGGAACAGGGTACATCTTGGTGCACAAGTTAGTCCAGGAATTCATTTTCACAGTAGCAGAACTGAGCTCAGTGTCCTTCCACACAAAAAACTCTGGTTTTCCTTAATTGTTCTTTATTCCAGCAGCCTAATGAAGAAATAAAAAGAAGCATTTATATGTTGATATGGTTGAACAACAGGCACCAAAATATTTCCCCATCTACTGCAAGCCACCCAGAGATCTCTCAAGATCTTGCTTTGCCTTTTGTCCATTTAGTCAACACTGTCACAATTAAGACAAATGTCATGCACCATCAATGCCTTTCTTTGAAACATATGCAAAACTCTGTGATTCCAGATTGACTCCAAAGATTGGGTTCCCCTGGAGTGAGATCAGGAACATCTCTTTCAATGACAAGAAGTTTGTTATAAAACCAATCGACAAGAAGGCCCCAGTGAGTATAACCAATGATGAGCATTTCTAGCAAAATTGTGAACATAAATTTCTATTGCTGCTTTCATACTAATAATTCACCTGTTAACTCTCAGGAAACACCTGTTTCAGCATATTGGGAATTTCACCCTTCACTGTAGACTGTGATATGAAAGACAATATTGACCTTATAGGCAGTAGTCTGTACATCTTGTACTCGAGTGTGTTTCTCTTTTTCCACTGTGAGAGAGAACAGCTGAACAACCCATAGTTCTTGGTTCTGTGGTTTGTTTAGTGTAACACGTGAACCTAGACTGCTCCCCAGCAAGCAGGAGAAATTGATTTGTTGTTGGATTATTCCTCTGCCTGGTTACTTTGCATCTTATATTAAACTCAACAAGACCAAAAGCCCTTATAGCAGTAGTGTTGGGGTTCTACAAGAACCCTGACTTGTGTGATGGTCAAACCCTCTCCACTTTTTCTGACTCATTTTTTAATCTTTCTTCAGTGTATTTTCTGAAACACCTCAAACATTCTTTGTCACATTAAATGAAGTATCTTTATTCTCAGAGATCACAGGGACAACCTCTCATTAACTCTTCTAATAAACCCACCTAGTTTATTATTTTCTGTGCTTGAAGGAAATAATTTTCCCCAAAGACTAGCAACACACATCAGCTGTCTTAAATAATTTATTTTGCAAATTGCCTTTTATCTCGGAAGCTATTCCATTTGGGTTTGGGAAACTCTTTAGTGATCACTATAGAGTTTTAAATGTAAGAAACCTGTCATTGGTGGATGTGGGTGGGCTTGATCTGAACATCCATCATGCAAGACCTTCCTTGTATTTGCTGATGAGAAGTGTACTCAACACTTTCCAAGGGCTCAGTGGCAAAAACTGTCTGTCACTCCAAACTGTATACTTCTAATAGTTGGATGACACTGAAGGCCTTTATTTCCAAGAAATACATCTGGCTGTGGGTTGACACTGAATCAATGACATCTAGAACATTTCCTCCTTCCTCATGTGCACCTAAGCTCTTTGTCTGGTTGTTGTCTTGTTGTTTTTATTGAACACAAGTATTTGTCAATCTTGGACATGACTTTCCTCCCACTATCCTATGCGGAATTGGAATGTACTTCTAAAATGAGAACTTGGCCCAAGCTGCTTCCAAAATGAGCTTGCTCTAGTAAAGAATATAGTGTCTAATATATATGTTTGCTTTTTCCTTTCAGTGTGCTTTAAGTTTTTGACTATAACCTAATGAAGCAATCTGTGGTGTGCACTGGTAGGGTTCTGTATGTAGGACTCTGGACTTGATATCACTCCACACTGATCTTAATTTCCTGGGGTGGGTTCCTCCAGAAATTCAAGAGAAAAGCCAAGTTTCCTATTCCTTGTCCAACAAAAAAGCATTTATAACAGTACTTTATCTCTAAACCAAAACACACTCATTTCCCTCTATAGCTAAGATTGGAGCTTAATTACTTACTCCCTGCTTCCTGAGTAAAACTCTCTATTGCCAAAAAGCCAACATTCATGTGAGATCTTGTTTGCAACAAGGTGCATGTAAACAATCAATTTGAGAAGATGCAGTTTTGCGTTCAGTTTATGCAGCAGAATGGGTGCAAAATGCCTCAAGAACGTAAGTAGCTACTTAAACTGAGTCAGACCATTGGTCCATCTAGCCCAACATGGTTGGCATGGAATTGCCAGCATTTTTATTCTGTATCTTCTCATTTCTCTTCTCTTATCCAAACTTTGATACTTGGCTGTTCCTTGTAGAGTGACAGATCTCTGAAATCTTGGATGCCTTCCACACCTTTACTTAAAAACTGCATGCACATTTCAGTGAAGCTTATTAGGGAAGTGGTGTTGTAACAGCTGTTGAAAAGAACAAATTCGGGAATAATTAATGAATTTGAACTGTTGAAATAAGTAGTTTACAGGAAAGGAATAGAGTCTTGTATAATTAAGACTCTGTTCTGGTTGTTAATATTAACACCTAAATTTTCCATTACAGAGAACTAGGGACAAACTGTAGGGGCTAGAAAAATTGGGAGATAAGTATTGTGAAACCTGTGTGTGTGTGTGTGTGTGTGTATAGGTTTTGATGTTTAATATCTCTTTCTGTCAGGACTTTGTGTTTTATGCCCCTCGCCTAAGAATTAACAAGAGGATCCTGCAGTTATGTATGGGAAATCATGAACTGTACATGCGCCGTAGGAAACCTGACACCATTGAGGTCCAACAGATGAAAGCCCAAGCCCGAGAAGAGAAGCATCAAAAATTGCTAGAAAGGTATGAGGATGGGTGAGGTAGGAAGGGTAGGGCTTGAATGAAGAAAGCAGTTGGACCTAGTCTGTCTTTTACCAAAGGTGGAACAGGTAGAGATCAGAGGTTAGGGGAAAATGCCACTGAAACACAGTTAGAAATGTGGACAACTCTGAGAGCTGCTACTTTTTCAAGGGTGTTCAAGGATAGGCTGGATATGCACATGGTGGGCATGTCATAAGCGGAGCCAGCTGGAGCGAGGGACCAGACTAGATGGCCTGGGAGGCCCCTTCTGGCTCACTCTGTTTCTATGTTTCCTTACCTAAGTATATACATATAAGCTGAGCTGAAAGGAGATAACATGATAGGTAACTATTCCAAGGACTGAACAGATTAAAAAAGTATCCTAGAATGGTCTTATCTAAATGCCCCACAGACATGCTGTGAAATCTTTACTTTTGATGTGGTTAGTGCCCTTTAATTCAACAAGACTAGGGGGATTATGCTCATAAGCCAAAACTCCCTTTGTTCTTTACCAAGACTTGATCTTCCTAGTTAGGCTGAATCCCATTCATCAACTATATTCTGCCATTACTCACACAGTATATATTTTATAAAATAGGCACTGCCACTCCAAAGCAATTTGAGGCTGATTCTTCTCTAGCATGCATGGTGATACCCTTACAACGCCATAGGTGCCCAAGGTGGAGCTAACGGAAATTGTATCTATAGTGGATGAAGCCTGTTAAGAAGCCGAGCTGCCTAGCTGTGTCCTACACACATACATTTGAACCTACTTCTGGTTTCTAATATGAAAGCTTTCAGAGCCTAATGATTAGTGTCTGCCTAATTTTGTTCCCTCTTAAAGATGTGTCAGCTGCCATATATTCAGCAGCCTTCTGTCCCACCCACTACGATGGAAAATCCCAAAAGAGGCTTTTCACCCCATTTTAGATATAGGCACATGTGTAGTCTTAAAGGTTCTAAAACAATTTTCTTCTTATATCCTTCTAGAGAGCAGTTAGAACAAGAAAAGAAGAAGAGAGAGAAAATTGAGAAGGAGAAGGCGCAGGTGTTAAGGGAGAAAGAAGAGCTGATGCTGAGATTGCAAGAGTATGAACTGAAGACACAGAAAGCAGAAAGAGGTAATGGAGCCCAAGTTCACATTTCAGGCTTTCTTTGACTCAGATGTGCCTAGAGATGCAACATAACAATTCTGACAAGCTGTATCTGAAACATCTCCGTGCCATATTTCCTGGCTTTCCCGAGTGATAGTAACATGCTGGCATGGAAGCATGTCGCAGCACAGTAGCCCCACTTTAACAAATGTGGCTGTAGCAGCATTTGCCTCTTCTTTTCAGTCTTTGCATACAGTTATGGCCCACATGCCCTTGCTTCTAAAATGCAGCCGATGTTACTACTACTTTCTCTAATAGCAGAAACATGACCCAACCATTTTCTTGAAAGTTACTTCTAAATACGCCCTGTTCATCAAAAGAGGCACTACAGTAATCAAACTGTTTTATTTAATTAATTTTTTTGTATCCTGCCCTTTACAGTGTCTCGGCAGCAGTAACATACATAGAAACAGAGCAAGTCAGAAGCATCACAGTAAAACCAGGTCTATCCATAATCATAAACAGAAAATACATAGTATAATCCATCATAGGAAAGTTGTATTTAAAACCCAACATATTCAGCACTGCTACTCTATAATGCCAAAAAACCTCCTCTGCAAGATTACAGTTCAAGTGATAGGAAGCTTTAATTTCCTATTGCTTTTCAGCTATGTGGTTGTTCAGCTTCGCCAGCAGTGAAGGCTGAAATGTTGCCCTCAGGGTTCCTTCACATCCTGGTTTAGATAGACTGACATCTCTGAATGACATCATGAAATCAAATTCATAACATCGCCTTATCCTCCGTTTAACCTCTGCTGCTATTGCTTTAGAATCCATAACTTCCCTGCATTCTTGTAAATTGCATAGTGCAAAGCTGTAACTATTTACTGTCAGCTGGGAATGTTTTGCACATAAACCAGATGACAGCATTTGGAGAGCAAGACCCTGTGTGTCCTGTGTAGACAGAAGACACTGAGTGCAGTATCTTTTTAAGGCTTGCATTATAAAACCTGACATTCATAGGTAGTGTTTTCTTTTTTCCAGAGCTCTCAGAGCAAATCCAGAAAGCCAGGCAGTTGGATGAGGAAAGGAGAAGGGCTCAGGAAGAAGCTGAGCGCCTAGAGAATGAACGTTTGGGTGCACTGAAAGCCAAGGAGGAGCTGGAGAGGCAAGCTGCTGACCAAATGAAGAGCCAGGAGCAGCTGGTATGGCACTTCAGAGAGCAATTTGGAAAACAGTATAAATCCCAGCAGACCATTGAGGCTCTGCACTACCTTCTGGGACAGGGCAAAATTTATTTACTAAGCCAAGCAATTATTCATAAAGGATCATGAGTGTATTTCTGAGGGTTGGGGGAGGGGAGTACTAGTCTGAAGGCAACTTGCCATATAGAGAAAAAGATAGAAAAGGTATAGAAAACAGTAAAGCATAATACAGTAAAACTAAACACAGTAGAAGAGAAATTAAATATAATAAGGCAGCTAGATCAGAAGCTGAGACAAATGCTTGCTTAAACAAAAATCATAAGAAACTGGGCATGGCAGTCCTTACAACACACAGAATTCTACATTTTGGGTGCTGCCACAGAAAAGGTCCTGCATTTTGTTACCACAGCTGACTGCAAGAGACTCTGGATCCTATTGGAGGAAGCTTCCCTTAAACAATCCTGGCCATAAACTGGTTAGGGTTTTAAGGGCATAAGCAGCAGCTTAATTTGCACCTGGAAACAAACCATCAGCAAGTAAAAATGTTGCAGGAGAGAGAGAACCTTCTAGAAGCTGGCTCTGGTTGATAACCTTGTGACAATATTTTATATGGAAGTCCTTTAGAAAATAACTTGTAAGAGCATGTTGCCTTGTAGGGCATGTGTAACCATGGCCAGATTGGCTATTTGCCAGAAAAGATGTGGTTGGTGCACCCATCAGCGTGTGGCAAAAGCGCTCCTGCATACTGCTATCACCCAACAATCTTAAGAGTGGCGCTTGGATCCAGAAGCTACCCCAAATGGCAAAGCTGACTGCTGAAGGGAAGCACATCCAAAATGGATCTACAAAGAGAAAACGGAATTCAGGATGCTGGAAACAGTAAATTAATTTTACTATTGAAAATAAAGTTATATTTTCCAGCATCTTGAGGCAGGTTCTCTCTCTGTAGACCTGTGGTGGATGCTTTCCAGTTAGCCTACATGAATCCCATCTGAAGGAGGCCTTTCCCCTATTCCTCAGTCAACTAGCTTTACAGACCAAAAGTCCTTCCACCGTGACTGGATGATGTTCAAAGTGTTTTCTCTCTGTCAAACAAGGCTACAGAGCTTGCAGAATACACAGCCAAGATTGCCCTTCTGGAGGAGTCAAGGAAACGCAAAGAGAATGAGGTGGAAGAGTGGCAGCTCAGAGTAAGTATGACATGCCTTTAGAGCAGTTTGTCAGCTTGTCCTGACATGGGGATTCAGCAGTTTTAGGCCTGCCCAAATGAATAGTACTTTATTTCAGTGCCATTAATCTGTGAATAGGAATTTCACAGGCCCATAGAACAGTAGTGTTTGCTACTTTTGCAGCTGTAAGAACATACAAAGAACCATGCTAGATCAGACTGCACGATCCCTCTAGTACAGTGGTACCTTGGCTCACGAACTTAATCAGTTCCAGGACTCTGGTCGTGACCCAAAATGGTCGTGACCCAGGTCAAATTTCCCCATAAGGTTCAATGTAAATAAGGTTAATCCATCTGTAACTATTTTTTTAATCAGAAAAATGTGAAGCAAAGTGACAACAACAAAGATCACGGCCATCTCCCCGCCCAACCACGACTGCGCCCATCATCCCTGCACGTGCCCATCATCCTGGCACGATGGGGGCGGGGAGAGACGGCGCGAACGGGGCGCACTGGGTGAGGGAGAGACCAGCGCGCTGTGGCATGGAGAGACGGGCGCGAACGGGGCGCACTGGGTGAGGGAGAGACGGGCGCGATCATGTTGGTGGGGGGAGATGGCCAAGATTGCAGTTGTGCTCCTGCAGGAAAGACAGGTACGATCTCGGCCATCTCCCTCCTGCCCCCGCACGATCGCGGCCATCTCCCCATTTGGGGGGCAGGGGGAGACAGCCACAGTCATGGTCGCCACCCAATGCAGAGTTCGCAACCCGAGTTAAATTTTTTCTGAAATTTTTGTTAGCGACCCGATTTGGTCATGAACCGAAGCGTTCATGAGCCGAGGTACCACTATATTCTGTGCCCCCCCCCCCACCATGTCCATGTACAGCTGACCAGCAGGATACATGCACAGTGTAGCACCTTCCAGTCAAGATCCTCAGCAGCTGGTATTGAGAAACCCAACACGTCTCATATGGAGCAGCCATTCTGACTAGTCTTATTGTCCATGAATTCCTCAGATCTTATACCTGGACAAAGTTATGGACATCAGTACATCTTGTGGTAGTGAGTTTCATAGTTTAACTATGCCTTGTTTGAAGAGATCTTGGAGGAAACTTGCGTGGAAAGAGTGATTGTTATCTTGGTCATTGGAAAGGGAATTCCGCAATGGGGTCAGGGCATCCTGAGGGACAAGAGTTAAGACCTTGCAGGGCTGTAAAAGTTGTCCACTCATCCTCTACAGGCCAGTACGGTAGCCTCTCAGCATAGCAAATCTGCTTTTAGCCTTTTCTTGCTCTTCCATGTACTGAAGCACACGTATGCTGGGATCTTAACTAAGAAATGTGCTTTCTTGTCCTCTTTTACAGGCTAAGGAAGCTCAGGATGACCTCGTAAAGACGAAAGAGGAGTTGCACCTGGTGATGACTGCTCCACCGCCACCGCCCCCACCTGTGTATGAGCCAGTGAACTACCATGTCCACGATAACTTTCAAGATGAAGGGACAGAGTCCTCTGGCTACAGTGCAGACTTTTCCAGCGAGGGCATACTAGATGATCGTAATGAAGAGAGGCGTATCACTGAAGCAGAAAAGAATGAGCGTGTGCAAAGGCAGCTGAAGGTAAGATTTGTGCAGCATTCATGGCTGAAATTGGCTGCCTGACCTAGCTTGTCTCGAGAGTAAAAGCATCGTCACGTACAGGGTGCTTGGGATGCAGTAGAATTTAAGAGAGTGGGATGCTGCTACAGGCCCCTGCCATGGTGCTTCCTGACTAAGAGGCAAAGGGCTAGAGGGATGGAAAAGAATGGATGATGCCCTCCCTTTTACTAAGACTGAGACTGGACGAGCAGGAAGCAAACAAATGCCAAGATGCAAAACTTGGAGACTTGGGATTTTTAATACACCAATTGCAATGCTGAGCACTTTGGAAGACAGAGTGTATCGATCTTTGCTACAGGGCTAGCATAGGCAAGATAAAGGGCCAGATAAAGGTCAGGCTGAACCCTCCTGTACATTCCTGCACAATATAAGCTTGGATCCTATAAAACAGAAACTTCGTTTTTAAATGGAAGTTGATTTCTCAGGATAGTATCGGAGCTTCCTGGTTCCTCTGTGGTTCCTCTCTTTCTGCATTGAATAGGTTCTGACCTGTTATGGCCTTGTGCTTTATATACCGCTAGGGCAGTGGTGGCAAACCTTTTAGAGACCGAGTGCCCAAACTGCAACCCAGAACCCGCTTATTTATCACAAAGTGCCAACACTGCAATAAAACCTGAATACTGAGGTTTTAGTTTAGTAAAAAACAACTCAACTCTTTTTGTCTTAAAAGAAAAACACAATAACAGAGAGTAGGAGCCATGTTCACATTCAGTGCCCCCAAGTCGGGCAGGGGACGCCGGGCTTGCTTGTTCCCAGGCGCACACCCTCCCTCCCTCCTTCTCTCCTTGCCCCCTAACCAGCCACTGGGAATGCTGCAGGAACTTCGGTGGCACTTGAAAGTTTACCAGAGGGGCAGAATGGCGGGGGTGGGGGGAGACCTAAACTAAAGGTGAGGAGAGGGTATCGCTGATCCCTTCCAGACTTCCATTGGGATCTTCCTCAAGGCGCCCCCACAGCGCTACCAAATCTTGGGGAGGGGGGTCCCTGCCACATGCCCACTCCTCTTGCTTTGCAGCAGTTCCAGTCTCCACTTTCCTTGTTTTGGCCTCCCTCCCCAGGAAGCGCCATATTGATCCTGGAGTCCAGACCAGGAGCAGGCATGCGGGCAGGCAGGCAGGCGGGCGTGCGGCTGCCTGGCTGCGCCTGCAGCTACCGAGTTGGCAGGGTGGCGCCACTGTGCTAGGAGGGCGGCTTGAGTGGCCTCTCACCTGCTGCGAGTCGGGAGGAGGAGGCAGGAGGAGGGCGCGCTGCCAGCGCTCGGCATTCCCGCTTGCGGATTGCCCGCTCCCTCCCTGGTGCACCCACTACGGCTGTTGCGCCTGCCTCTGGCCACCTGTTCGACAATGCCTCTTGCAGCAAGTTGTGGCTAATGAGTGACGTTGTCGCCTGGCGCTGTTACTCTTTCCGAATATGTGCATGGCTGCTGGGAGGATGCTTGGGCGAGCGTGGCAACAGAGAGGGCTCTGCGTGCCTGTTGTGGCTCACATGCCATAGGTTCGCCACCACTGCGCTAGGGTGTGTGTACACTTCTGAAATACTGTGTTCAAATATTGCAGACACTGAGTAATGAACTAGCACAAGCCAGAGATGAAAACAAGAAGACTCAAAATGACCTCATCCACACCGAGAACATCCGACAAGGACGTGACAAGTACAAGACACTGAGGCAAATCCGACAAGGCAACACCAAGCAGAGAATTGATGAGTTTGAGGCTATGTAAATACAACAGCACAAGACTCTGGGAAAGGCAGATTTTGAATACTGACTTTTCTTTCTGAAGGGTCACTGAACAGTCATACCAAAAAAAAAAAAAAAGTCTCCAAACCTTCACACTATCAGTTGGTACCTGAATCTAGCTAAAGCAGCCATCAACTAATGATTGCATAAGGATAGCTGTCAGCATCAAGCCTTGGAAATATTTGGCCATATCCTAGTGCCAAAAGGCCTTTCAGAATTGCTTTCACCCCTTATGTTATTAGTATGCTGCTGCTTGAGTACAGCAGATTTGGGGGGGGGGGGGGGGGGAGCACAGATTCACTATTAGTATGTTGTGCCATGTTCCTTGGGTTTTAAACCTCATGTGTAATTTAGGGCTGTAAAATCTCCCAAGTTGTCCACTTCTTCACTTCCTTCTATTGCAGTGTCATAGAAACCTCATCTTAAGAGTAAAACTGAAGGAGCATTTTAATTGAACTGTTGAATTGAAGAAGTTCCCACAGTGATCACTCAGAAGGAATGCATTACAGGCCCACTTGGATGCCTGACTTGCATAAGATAGTCAGGAAGATCATTGGCCTTCAATATTATTGAAGAGTGGTACTCCAGCTTAATGAATCAGCTGTAGTGTAGTATTTATATTTACCTATGTTAAAGGCAGCATTTAATTCTAGTCTGAAAAGGGAGAAAAGTTTTTTGCTTTGTATATTTTGTTACTGCTTTCAAATTTAATTTGAAAAGGATAACAGGTAAAAAAGAAAAAGGTCTCCTAGACACTGGGGTGAGGCAATATAAGAAACTTGATTATGATCTAGGAAACATTTATAAAGATGATTTTTTTTACTTAAAAGAAAATTGTGATACATTCCTGTGATTCAGTATGTACAATTTCATTGTACCTGCTTTTTTCTAACAAATTTTCTAATTTTTTAAAAAATGATATAGTTTCAGACTCCAACCATGAAGGGACTTTGTCAACTTTTTATTTCTCTGTTAGAGCTATTAGAGAGTTTCTGGATTTCTTCCACCACCACACCCTTTGTGAATCTCCTTCACAAAAATAATCCCATCTCAGGCTTTGGAAATCTGCTAGAGTGTCACAGGACAGTATGTTGTTAGTTCTCCATATGCTGCTTTGTACTCATGTTTAAACCTTGGTATCCTGCTACAGTGTTGTGGGATTTGTATTTGTGCAATTCATTCACAAATAAAAAAATCTGCAAAGCAATGTGTGTTTGAAGGTTTGTGGCTTTTTCCTCTGAATAATGCCTCTTACTGTAATTTAGTTTACAATAATAGGAAAGGTGAAGTGAATATCAACTCAGCTGTCCAGAGAAAGTTAAACGAGAACAGGTGGGGAAGAATGAAGAATGGAAACAATTGTTATGAGCATAGGGGTAATATGCCTCAGGCCATTCAGGGTAACTGCTTCTCACTAAAATACCAAGCTCATTGGATTAATTGCATTGGCAGCCTCATGAACAAGTGAGCGCTACTCTTCATTCCGTTTCTCTATAAGTAAACTTTAAACTTCAACCAAAAATTGTGTATACCAACAGACAAAACTAATTGTGTGCACATCAGTACAGAGTGTGCTTTTCTTGTGAGTTCTGTGCAGATTATGGATAGAATAAGGCAATGATTTCTCGCCTCAACTTTATCTGAGGAAAGTCTGCTTTTGGACTTTTATCAACAGAACATGTATGCTGCTGACCAAATGCTGAAATGTAGAGATGTGATTTCAACCCATCAAATACTAGTGAATAGTTCTGCCAAACAGAACTGATGCTTATAAAGGCATATGGAGTAGCTGAGCTTACAAATTCAGCCAGGCTGACACTCAGGAGAGAAGGCTGATGGTCAAAGTAGTGCATAAATACGGATAAAAAAGGAGATCTGAACTGAGCATGAAGAAAGGAGTGAGCTGACTGAGGCATAACTAACCAAGGTGGGGGCTGGTCTTTGGGAAAAGGCATGGCAGAGTTCTGTACATGCAAACCTCTCTCTCAACAAAAGCTCACATGAATTTGTGTGCTGTTGAACCTAGTTTGTTGTGTTTGTCAAAGGCAAATCTACCTAAGCAGAACGTGCTTTCAAAACCAGCATATTGAATTCCCTGTCTAACCTCACTGTCTTGATTTGCCATTGGAAGTCTTTGCAGCTGACCTGGCTAAGATACCTAACCAATTCTCCAGAGAGTCAAGTTGCTTACCTGTCATTGAGTGGTCTGTATGTTCACTTTAAATCACCAATCTGTACATTCTGATTTTGATTTGTAAGATTGGAATTAAGCACTTCTGACATGTGAAAACATACAATACAAATTGACATTGTGCAGCTCTTGGCATCTATACGAAGAGTTGAAGAAACGTGCTTTCATTGTTTTAGAGTTAAAATAACTGGTCTTCCATGCTGCAACTGGATTTCCCTCTGCTGTAAAGCAGAAGATGTTTCAAATGTAATTGTTCAGAACTTAAGTACCAAAGTGTTAGAACACAGTGTGCTATGCCTGTCCATAGATTTGGACTGTTTAGCATCTTTTCCTACGCAAGACATGCTGGGGACATTGTATCCATGATGTCATTTGGTCTTTCTGCAAACATATGAAAGGGGGCAAAACAAAAATAACTCCCAGACCTCATATCATGCACGATGTAATCCAATACATAATTGTAATTCAGCAAAATGTTAGGTTGGAGGCTGCTAGAGTTTCTTTCAATACATGCTAAATTTGCAAAGCGGCATATCTCAGCTGAAAAATCTGTTTTCGTGCTTATCTTCAAAGCGGACATGCCAACTAAGAAGAAAACGCAATCTGATTTCTATTCAACATCCTTTTTAAAGAAAAGCAATTGCCATGTAGCAAAGAAAACTGTTTCCAGAATGTGAACACATTTTAAACTAAGACTTGAGAAAATCTTTCACAACTGTTCTTTGAAACAAAGAGTTTTGAACATAGTAGTGCTGGATTACTCTGAAACTGAGCACTGTTAGGGTAGTCAGAATACCTGTGTGCTGATAAAGTGTGCAGTTATTGTTTCTTAACATGAAATCAGAGCATATGTAACCATTCCTTTTAATGCAAATAGCACAGATAGGAGAGACTTGGGGCTGCTTCTTGGATGTACTTTGCTGAGGATCTTGGTGGAACTGGAGGAAGGGGCCCTCACCCAGAAGATCACTGGCTCACTAAGTTTGTGAACTAACCTTGAGTTTACAATATTCAAAGATCACCCCTGCAGTGGATAACTTTACCGAGAATATAGTAGCTGCTCTCACCACAGTGAGAGGAGTGTATATAATGTTCCTGCTTTGTATACATTATCTCTTGATTCTGTGGAAATGATTTATTCAAACATGCAGTTTGGCAGCTGTACTGGATTTGGAGCAGGTAATTGGTGCAGCTATAAAAACCCTCATCTTTGACCCGTTTTTAATTTGAAGGATCTTTTGGTGGAAGAAAAGAATGGATGACTGCAGTGAAGCCTAGCAGGACACAAAACAAGCTGAGAGCAATTCTAATTAGTGTAACTAATGACATGTCTGTGTTCCTTTATCTCTTTGATTGTTTGCCAAAGAGAAGACTGTTAGAAGCAGAGCCAGAGGAGGGAATAATGGAGGATACAGTGGGTTAATTCAGCAAGCAGGAAGTAGGTCAGTGGTTCCTCCATGCATGGGGTAAGCCTGTCTATGGGGATGCAGACAGTCACTGTGAGTTAAGGTTCCTCGCTGACTTGCTTCTGGACTAGGAAACAGCTCTAATGCTGATTGCATCTGTCAGGGACCAACAGGGCAGCCATCTGTGTTCCTAGAAGTTTCCTTTTTAAAGTGCAACGTGCTCCCACATATTATTATTATTATTATAATTATAATTATTATTATTATTACATTTCTATGCCGCCCCTTGCCGAAGCCTCGGGGCGGCTTACAACACAATAAAATACATTGAAATACAATAGAAATATACAGATACAAGTTGCTAACAAAGCGGTCCAGCTGTAGTCACAGGGACAGAATAGCATGCGGAGCAAGGCATTTACACAGACATGGGTTCTGGAGACCCCCCGCATGTAACATACCTCCCTGGTTGGCTGAGTGGAGATTCTGGAGGATTGAAGCATCTCTTAGGATGTGCCAACACAGGGCTCCCCCATGCAGTTGCAGCACTAGGGCCACCACTCTGTTTAAATGCATGAAACAAGGCCGTGCATCTGCTCCCCTCTCCTTTTCCTCCCTATGTGGTTGGGGTTTGTCTCTGTGATCCAAACCTAGAAACAGCAGTAAAGGTTGCACAGTGGTATCTCCTAGTCTTGATAAACTAGGAGAGATATTTCTCGACTTTGGAAGGCCCAGCATGACAGTTTGAGTACCACAGATCATTTATTAAAATGCTTTTATTTCTTAAAGCCTGGAGAGAGAACCCTAGAGCCATTATTAGGAATTTGCATGTAACATCGCTGCTTGTGTCAGCTTGGTTTTGATAAACCTGGCTTGTACATCATACTGATTAGATGATGCCAGTTATGTTACTAGCTACTGGTGCCCATTTCAAAATTTATTTTTTACACCATGCATTCTGAAACCATGTTGATTTTGCAATGGGATTCATTCTACTAAGCCAATTCAATCATGGCTGGCCAATCCAGACATTTAAGCATTAAGATTTGTTCTTAAATTAGTGTTATGTTCAGAAAACAGTTACACATGCTTGAGTCTACCATGTACTTAGCCTCTAAGTCTGGGGAGAAGGGATACCAAACCTTTAAAGCAGTCCCTTTAAATATTCCTAAAAGTCACATTCTCGCTTTATAGATTTGGTGATCAAACAACAAAGGGAAAGATTTTAGAGGGGCTAAAACCATTTTAGTGATGGCTTATCAGACACGTAGGCTTCAATCTGTTCATGAACTTTCTGGCCAAAATACGGTTTAACAACACAGAACTAATGTTCCTAGCAACCCTCTTTGCAGCTAGTGGGCAACTTCATTTTGCCCAATGACAGCTTCTCACTTCCTATAGATTAAAGACTTGATTATTAGCTTTATTGTCACCAGCAAGCCTGTTTGGTGAGAAGCAGAGTGGGAGATCAAATTTTTATTTCATCTGTATATGTTTACATCCCCGCAAGTCTTTCCAACATTCCTAAGCCAACTAGAAGTTTAACCAAATTGCCCCTATCTCTCTGCATCTTAAGATGTTTTACACATCCTCCCCAAGTGTCACTGAGCCTGAGAACTCTTGGGCTTCCTCTCGGAAACATACAAGTATCCTAATCACAGCAGAGCCATCAAAAGATGCTCATCACTCCGGTCACTCTTAATAGCTATCTACTGAAATGCTTTAACATCTATAATGTATGATACATGCCATAAAGTTAAGGTATGATAAATGCCATCTTATGTCATAAGTAATTCCATGAATACAACAGTGTTTCTCCTGTTATTTTCCAAGAAATGGCCCCTCTTTTTGTGTTGCGCTTTGTGTTAAGAGTTTGTTTGACTTTTGGGAATAGCTTCCTGGAAGGTATGAACATTACTTTTAGAAAGAAATCGCACTTTATAGGTGGACTTTCCCCAACCTCCTGCTTCTGCTTGATCTTTTGGAGGCCACCTTCACTATTATGCCTGAACTGGCATCTCCTAGATGTCCGATTTCCTCTTTGTTTAGACAGAGTATAATTTCTGCTCTGTCCTTTTGGTAGTCATGGCATATAATCAGGTCATTGACTTAAGTCAGTATAATTATCATCTCACTTCTCTATAATGTGAGTAGAGACAGTTCTTTACCTTGCATAAAGCCTCAGTTGGTCAGAATCTGGTCTGGTTTTTCATTCCATGCTCTTGCTGTTTGTTTTAAGCTTCATTTCCCTTTCTACAGCTACCAAACAGCTCTCTACCCGTTTTTGTCACTTGTATACTTATACATGGAGTTGTTCCATGTATAACATTTTTATTTTTCCATGCAGAAATGCAGTCCTTATGTACAGATATTCTGTATGTGTGTTTCTTGAAGCGGTCAGGATTAACAGCGCAGGTGGGCAAAAAATGTCATTGCTTCACCAGATTCCTGAGTGTAGCCAATGGCAATGGGCCATGTATCATGGTGTCTTTCCTTCTACATGGCTTTAATAACTCACTGGCAGCCGAGGGCCTTTTTGCTGATACCTTGTTTTTTCTTGTCCACATTTAGCTTTTGCACAGACTCTCTGATCAGGAGCCTGGTTCCATAGCAATCCTGGCTCTTCTGTTTCATCTGCTCTCTAGGAGCTTCTGCTTTTATTTCCTCCTCTGGCTGTGTTTGAGTGATGACTAGACCTTTGGGTATCAGCCAGTGCTCCCCTTTGCTCTCATCATCCTCTCTGACAGCTTTACAGTTGCCACCAGTATGGCTCTGATCACTCCTTTGCCATTCACTGACATTCATTACACTGGCTATAGTTGCCTTATCTGTCTTTGGGTTCAAGATCCTTTATACCTGGTTTCCTGGAGCATAGTCAACCTTCTTTGGCTCTGGAGTGCAGGTCCAATCTCCTTTCCTTGGAACTTGTGCATAAACCCAGGTTCCAAACACCCTCAGGTGCACTTTGCTTAGGTTCCCTTCATGTCATAGCTTATACAGAGTGCTGTCACTAGCCTCGGCTGCCACTCTATTTTGTAAGGGTGTGGTGGTTGACAACAAACAAAATATTTGTTGAGAAGTCCTGCACCTCACAGCAAGCCCTCATCCTTTCCATTGGCGAGTCTAAATTCTACCCCACTCGCTCAAATATGCCTATGTCTGATGTGATCCATATTCATCACCATGGTAGCTTTGGATAGCTTGAGGCTTCCTGATGAATTTGTTGGTAAGTTTGGTAATGTACCTTTTCAGTACATGCTCAGTTTTTAGATTTCTGCAATGGCATGTGTTAGTTACACAGTACTTGGTAAAGGCATCTACTAAAAAAAAAAAAAAAAAAAAAGGTACGTTTTGCCTTCAACTGAGGCTGCCTGAATGGGACCACACAGATCAGTATGAATCAGCTCAAGAGGCTTGTTTGAGCCTCTCTGACTTTCTTGGGAATTGGCTGCCTGGTTGCCTTTCCTTTAAGAACACCATGCATTTGTTTTCATAATTAATGCACTCCTTTATATTAACATTTCTTACCAAGTCCTTCAGTTTCACAATGGCAGTCATGTTGCTATGTGCAAACTGCCGGTGTCACAAGGTGAAGAAACCCTCTCTGGTACATTGTCAGCATTAGCCTTTTCTTCCAGGCTGTCAAGTTCAAGTCTCCACCTTTCTTGAAGCCTGTGGCATAGTTGATCTTGAAAATAAGCTGCACAGCTTTTCTTGTTAAAATATACATCAAGACCTTTTCTTTTCAGTGTGGTTTTACTCAGCGGATTTATCGTGAGTTCAGCAGTGAAGAGTATTTCCTCTTGTGATATCATTGCTCACATATTTAGCCTTACATCTCAGGGTGATCATTCCTTTGCTCTGAAAAGCAACAGGATTTCCATCAGCTAAACTGATTCTCCTGTTTCTATCTTGATTGAGTTCATGGACTTGATTTGTATGAGGACAAATGCTTCATTATCAATCAGCCTGTAGCTTGGATATTTCACAAGTGGAGTGCATTGAAAATTCTGTGGGCGCTTAATGCTGATTATGATCGTTTTGGCTCTGTGCTTCCTTGGAGGAGTTAAAGTGGTGCTGGTACTCCCTCTCTCGGCAGCCCTTTCTGCTGCAGTTCATCTGAGTGGGTGGCTCTTTTCTTTGTGTCAATTTGCTCTGTTGTGACTGGCTTTCAAAATGTCTCCCTACAGACTTATTTTTAGTGCGCATGTAATGCAAGGCATTCTGTGTTTCAGTCTTCTCATGAGTCTTTTGTCTTCATGCTTCTCCTCTTGTGGGTTTTAATAAATCATTTAGCATTCTTTCTTCTGCATTAGAATTTGAAATGAATTTGGAATAGTTTCATGGAAGAGAACTTAGAAATAGCCCCCATTGTTAGTGGAAATTTTGGAAAGAGGTTTTTAAAGAGCACAAGAAAATATTAAGCCTGAAGCTAGCAATATGCCATAAGTTGGCATTACTTTCAATATTTGATAAGAAACAATGGAGCTGGAATAATGAAGAATTAACAACCAATTAATAACCAACTGCAGCAAGATTAATTATAGCTAAGAATTGGAAAGTAAAATTTGCTTACCTATTGTGTGATTAGTATAGAGAAGTTTGGAATATAACTATTAATGACAAATTCACATGTGATATTAAAGTGAGAGAAGGGCATATAAAGGAAAATAAGTTTAATGATATTTGGGGTGCATTAATTGGCTATGTCTATTTTAAAAAGGAAAGGATTGGATCCATCAAAAATTGTTGCAGTTTTGGAAGAGGGGAAAGTCCTGAAAAATTTTTTGAACTACAGTGGTGTTGCAGATCATGGAGAAAGGGGGCTTTTTCACTACATATTAAGGGTAACAACAGTGGAGAGAGCTTATGAGCATATCACTGTCCCTTCTCCTTGAGTTTGCCCATGCACCAAACCCCTGAGAAGTGCTAAAGAAACATGGCAAACCAACCTCATCCTTTGCTGGTCCCTCTATAAACCTGGATAATTGGGAAAGACTCTCAGCAAGGTCAGGCCCAATTTTTATGTTTGTTCTTTAAATCAAACTGACTTCAAGGCCTGGGAGCATGAGCAGCCAGACACCCCATGGTGTACCACAGGGCAGGACCTAAGAGTAGATTCACCCAGCAATACCTGCATACTGGTGCTATCTGATCAATTCTGCCCAATACACACGCTTAAAGCCACGTTTGTGGAACTGAAGAAACACGGGAGGAATTGTAGTTCTTCTACCTATCTCCTAACCCTTGGGCTCTTTCCCCTACTTCTTCAGCACCCAGTCCCACTTAAGCTAGTTTAGCTTATTAAATGTATGTAAGTACATTGTCATACAACATAAATTAACCCTGAAGTAATTCACAAAAAAGAAAAACAGTATACAATGTAGGAATTAAAACCATTCAAATTTAATAAGAATGTTCAACCCAATACACCTAAATTCCCCCCACTTCCATGCTACTTAAATATAGACAACAAAATATGTGGTCAGCTGACTGAAATTTTCACAAGGATCCCTTTTTAGCTCAGAAAGTACAAGGGACATTAGAGAGCCCCAAGAGTTTGTATGGTGCTTGAGAACTAAACGGATAACATGTCTGAGAAGTAGAAGTGAAAACAAAATTTCACTTTGCAATTATTTACAATTTTCTGGCTGCAATTTCCATAGTTCAATCCGTTTATGAATGGGGTGTGTAAAGAGGGCAATCTCCTGCTGAGGACTTTGATGCCATTGCCCTTTGTTCATCCTATTTTAACCCTGGGGCAAAAGGTAGGACAGGGAGCGAGGCAGAAATCCAGCAGTAATGTGGCCACAGAAGGGCAGGGCTTTTTGCAGCACTGAACTTTCCTAAGAGTGTAAGAGTCACCTGCTGCATTAAACCAAAATCTGCCTAGCCCAAGGCTGGGTTTCCTACAGTACCTGTTCAGATGATGACTTCATTTATTCATACCTGCATTTCCAATCTGATGCCTTCTAAAAGTGTTGGACTGCAAGTCCAGTCATCTCCATTCAGCAGTTTTAAATCGTCTCTTTTAAGGCTCCAGGCTGTTGGTGGCTTTTTCAAACAAAATCTTCCCAAGGAATCTGCATGAAAGCTCACGGTACTGCATGGAAATGAGGGTCACCCCTTGTTGTCTGCCCCATCGTCCAGTCCTTGGGGAATAGTTCCCTTCCCTGTCTGGGCTACCACAGCAAGTAGCCAACAATGTTAGCTACTATGTCTATACAGTCATTCTTATGGCTGTCTCCATATCCTATGTCAAAAGATTATCCAAAAGGGAATATGAGCAGAGATAGGATGGCCTATCCTATCTGAAAGGCTGTGATGCAGATGAAGTAGATTTGCTCTCCGTTGCTCCAGATGGTAAAATGCAGATCAACAGTTTCAAAACAAGAGAAGGGATTTGTGAAAAAGATTGGGAAGAACCTTTTGACTAAATTAGCTGTTCGAGAGTGGAACCAACCGCCTCAGTGATAGACTCTCCTTCATTAGATGGTTTTATGCAGAGATGGGATAGCCATCTACCATGGATGCCATAGCAGCAGATCCCCTAAAGCAGGGGGTAGCCCCCCCCCCCCCACACACACACACATTTTGCCAAAGCTACATTGCAGCAAGAAATGGACAAATACATGGTTTGTTGCATGTTTGTTTCTAAAATAAAAAGTTTTAAAATAGTTCTAATACAAAGCCATTTTTGCTTGGAGTGGATACCAGCAGAATGAAGTGTCTTTAAAATCCCAGGATTCAAATGATATCACAACTTCTCCAAGAAATATCCGACGTCTGAAAGTTTCGGCATGCCAAACAGATATCTGAAGCTGCCGGGTTTCCAGCTGGGAGTATTCAACCTTGTACTATAAAGATAAACATTACTGTTAGGATGCAAGGCATAAGTCCAAAAAGCACATTTATGCAGTTGTAAGCATAAAAATCTGCCACATCCTATAGTACATTATTGAATTTTTGTGAAGAACAACCAAAACCTTGTACAAATAATGTTATGCCACAACAGAGTGGGAAATAATCTGATAGCTGATTTATCCTTCCCTAACACACACCTTACATCCATGTTTGTTAAAGGGTAGGGCAGCTATCTTCAAAAAGGACACTACAGACAGGAATAAACCTGTAAGGAAAGCTGCTCAGCCCCTAGACATGGTACTTGGAACTTGAGCAATGGCTGGAACCCTGTGCATCATTACATTTGTTTTTCCAAACATGCTAGAACAGACATGCTTGACCCCAGGCAATCTTTTGGTATCAACTGATCTGAGAAGCTACCCCTGCATGCACATGACTGGCACTGCTGCTGAAGGATGACTAGCAAAGAACTCCTGCCTGTTGTCATCCAGGCCCTGTAGAAATCCTAGCTAAGCCATTCCCTAGAGGCAGTGGGAAATTACTGTTGGTGATCAAAGGCACCAACAGACAAGACAAAGATCCTGCTGAGCAGTAGCCTGGAACCAGCAGCACAAGCTGTTCTGGGTGGCATAGCATTCTCTGTCTAAAAGATAATCTTGGGAGTAATCCAGTGCTGCTCCTAAAGGTTAACTCGTTGTAGTGGGCAGGAGTGCCATTGTCCAGCTTTGTACGATTCACTAGCTGCATCTCATGCAAGACGGAGATACTGTTGGTGGACGGTTCCTCTGACCAAATGAAGTGTTCAACCTATTCTCAGTGAGGTTGCACACCTGCTAAAGGAGCAGGGTTAGGGAGGCCTCAGTGGCTTGGAGTGCCTTCTACCAGCTTCAGCTGTGGACCCTCATCTGGACATGGGTAGCCTGGCTTCAGTAATTTAGGCACTGGTAATCTCTAAATTAGATGACTGCCATGCCCTCTAAATGGGGCTGCCCCTGAAGGCTATTCAGAAGCTGCAGTTCATGAAGAATACAACAGCCAGATTAACTTCTCAGGACCATAGGTGTGAACACCTAAGACTGGTTTCTGGACTGCTTTCATTGCCCGCCTATGCAATTGCAGGCCCAGTTAACCAGTAAAGTCTTCTCCATCTTAAGAACGCAGTACTTGGAAGAGCACCTCTCCCAACAGCAATCTACCCAGCTGCTATACTCAACATTTGGGGCCTTCCGTCAGGTGCCAACTTAAAGGGTGGCAACAAGCAGGAAGGCTTTGTCTTTGGTGGTCCCTCATCTATGGAATGGCTTCTCTATTGCAGTCCACCTGAAGTCAACCTTCTCAGCTTTTTTGGAGCCAGGTTAAACTAGTCCTTTATGCCAGGGCTTTTAAAGATATACGTGTCATCCAGGGAGTATGATGCTAGTGGGCAGCTCTCAAATGAACTCAATAAATAAATAATCCAGGGACTTGAGGGGATTATCCATCCCAAGTGTTCATATTTCATAGGGTTATTTTTCACCATTTGTTTTTTAAGCTATTTTAATGTTTTATGTTTCTTTCGATCTTAAGATCTTATTACATTTACTACATTGTTTTTATGTATTCTTATAAACAACTCAGAAAGCTTCTGCTATTGGTATATAAATGAAACAACAACAACTCATGGGCACTGTTATATGGTTCACCACTTAGGAAAGTGAAGCTGTAGGGTTTTGCATGGCAGACTTTTTTGGGAGCTGCACCCCAAATTAGTGTGCAAAGGACTGCACTGTTAGGTAGCTTTTCTTTAAGGGTGCTACCAAACCAGATAATTTTTGATAAATATGGTAGGAGATGTAGATCACCAGTTCTCTCCACTGCTAATCCACTCAGGTTAGCAAGATCAGCACACAGGTGAAGGGCTCTCAGCACACCTAAACAGGGATACTAACTCAAACTTGCTGAAATGGTCCTCCCATTCCTAATACTGATTGCTCGAGGTTGCCTAACAGCATTCTGAATCAGGTTCAACTTGTCCACTGCACTGTCCCAGAGAATTTTGTATTAAAAAATAGGGCAAGCACTGGGAAAGTATCACTGGGCACCTAACTCTTGGCTCAGTCTCTGGCATTCTATGCACTGGTGTTTAGAAAGGAAGAGGGAGGGTGCACTTTCCTATATTTTTCAACATTATATAGAAAAGGGAACTTTAGCAGATCATATTATCATGTAAGGACCAGTAAAACAGATACCAGTCTTCTATATAGCTGTTAAAGGTAAGAGTAGCCAAGTGCTCCTTTGCGGTATGGTCATCCTACTGGGATCTACTCCTTATCTTGGTGGTTCAAGAAATGGTTTATAATAGAGAGAGACCGCCACTCACAAAGTGTTAAGTTCTGTGCAAATGCTTTTTTGGAATGTTTGGAAATCTGCCCAGATGCAACAACTCCATCTATAAAGTACGAATTAGTGTTCTTACACATTGTGTGTCTATAAAAGCTATTTATAGCTGCCAGCAAGTACTGACACATTTCTAATGCTGTTCAATGGGACAGTTAACTTTAAATGAACAAGCCCACACAGCAACTAAAAAGACATTCATTGTGAAAAAGGGATGCTTACAAAGCGAGCTGTAACTCTCTTCAGTTTAAGAAGTATTTGGACCCCCCAGCCACCCATGCTGTAAGTGAATGATACACTTACCATATTCTTCCATCTATAAGAAGATGCCCCCATGTATAGGACACCCCCCACTTTTCTTACCGATCGCCAAGCGAGCAAGCTGCTGCTGTGCATGCCCGCCCGCGCCAGCCTCCCCCCAGCGTGCCCATGATTGCACCAGTCTCCCCCCCAGTGCACCCACGGTTCTTCTCTCGGCCCCCCGTGTATAAGACGCACCTCCATTTTTAGGTAAATATTTTTAAGAAAAAGTATTGTCTTATACACAGAAAAATACGGTGATTAACCTTCATGAAAAGAGACAATCGCCAAGGATGTCAAAAATAAGTGGGTCTGAGTAATCAGGGAAGGCTTGAATCACAGAAAGCCACAGTGGCTTGTCCCTCCCCCGTCCCGCACATGCCAGTTGCACACTGCCCCCTTTCCACCAAGGGCGGGTTGCAGCGCCGTCCAAACCTGGTGAGGTGGGTGGCTTCCAGACCACTCCAACGCAGGGCTTGTTCCAAGGTTCCAGAGTGGTTTGGAAGTCACCTCCCCCACCTACCCTTGCGGGGTTCAGGCAACAGCAACCCACACCTGCCATAGGTAGTTATGGAAATGAGGTCATGTACAACCAAGTGTGAGGGAGAGGCCACTTCATTTTCTTCCCCAATAGTGTGAGCCCAGGAGGTATGTGGAAGTTGTCCTTTGTATGCTATACAGTGGTACCTCGGCTCACGAACGTCTCAGCTCAGGACCAAATCGGGTCGTGAACAGAAATTTCATAAAAATTTTGCACAGGTCACGAACTCTGCATTGGGTGATGACTGCGAGTACGCCCGCCTTCCCTGCACGGGCGTGATCACAGTCGTGCTGGGGTGGGGGAGATGGCCCCATTCATGCTGCGGGGGTGATGGCCGTGATTGCGCCTGTGTTCCCTACCCGAGCTTGCCGGAGCCGCCTCCCCCCTGCGCATCCGTGCCCATCTCCCCCCCAGCGTGCCCGCGATCCCGCCCACCTCCCCCCACCACTCACACAATCGCTGGGATGGGGGAAATGGCCATGTTCTTTGTTGTTCTTTGTCACTTTGCTTCAAATTTTTGTGAGCAAAAAAAAAAAAAAAAGTTGCAGAACGGATTGACCTTATTTACATTGACCCTTATAGGGAAATTTGACTTGGGTCACAACCAATTTGGGTCACGACCAGAGTCCTGGGACGGATTAAGTTCGTGAACCAAGGTACCACTGTATAATCAGTGTGTGTCCTCTTTTAATAACGAAGATTTCATTTTAGGGTGGGCCAATGAAGATGGCTTTGGCTACATCCTAATTAAACATTTCTAGATTTTGTTTAAATTGAAAGTGGTTAACTCATGCCTTCCTAACCCGTGAAAGTTTTCTAAAAAGCTACTTTGAGCTGTCCCATTTATTCTAATTGCATCTGTTAATTCTTAAAGGCTAAACTGATTTTGATAAACTGGGGAAAAATTAGCCCAGAACATTAGAACCTTCAGTTAAGTGCTCTCGCTCTCTTTTTCACAGGAAAATTCCCCTGTAAAGAGGTTGTTAGAAGTGGGGCATGTCAACAGGGATCTGATGTTGCTAAAGAATGGGTGAGGACAGAAATCTAAAAAATCAATGTTGCTTAGGTACCTTTAATGTTTCTTGGAACAATGGATCCAATGTGTTCTTTTTGACACAAGTCTTCCGTTTAGTCTGAGAAGATTTATCGGGCAACAAGTAAGTCTTGACATACCTTGCAATCAGAGATGGAGACAGTAGTTAGGAACCATGAAAGGAAGGGGAAAAGGAAAGAAAGTCACACATTTGCTTTTAATTAATCTCTGCACCATTCACTGATACACTTTTTCTCAAGTATTCTTGGCCTTTCCACACTATCAACTTCTTTTGCTGCACACAATCCATACTACTCTGTCCCTAAAGGCCTTTTTCTTCATCTCAAGTGAATAGCAGCTGGCTGCATAACTGCTCAGCGGGAAAGGACATCTTCAAATAATGTGTTCATGACTACTATCTTCCATTTTCCAGGACTGAGTCTTGGCACTGAGATGGAAGAGTGAGCTTAGTGATCCTATGTTAAAAGCAAGTCTTGGGCCACACTTTACAGCAGTCCTAACAAAATCCTAAGCCAATTCTCATTCTTTTCCATGCATACATTAGGACTTGGAATCTAATTAAGAGAAAGAACATCTAAGTTGAATATTGATTCTTATCTCCCTTTGGGATATGTTTGGGTTTTTTTTGCAAGAGTCAATCAGGAACCAATTATTCAAAATACCCCTTTTTGTTAAACAAGTTGCAAGTTTGCAAACCTCCTCTACACTGCCCACTTCTGCAAGCTCCCGCTCTGCAGTTGTGCTGTCTCCCCTCCTGGATTTTCAACTGGCATCTCCTTCTGCCTAAGGCTACAGTCCCCCCCCCCCACCACACATACACGGACAAGAGAATATGCTCTACTGAACACCTCACTAACCCCGTCTCTAAATCTCCCCCCTCAGAAAGTTTTTGCTCTTCCTCACTCCCACAGTTGCCTTTGAAGTAATCTCTCCCATAGCAGGCACATGTGGATGCCCAGGGCCTTGGACTGCAACTGGAACTGGGTTCTTTTCAGCAATTATCTCATTATCAGAGTCTGAGCTGCCAGCCCTGCCAACTCCCCGAACACATCTCATTCTCAGAATCTGAGCTGTCAGTCCAGCCAAAATGGTCTGTCTCTTGTGCGTGCCTCTGACTTTTGCCAGAACGTGCATGCATGACACTAACCCTATATCCTGAATATAAAATGCACAGAGGGTACTGAAGTTGTCAAAAAAAAAAGGGGGGGGTCTAAGCCTTAAATATTTCATCAACTGGATAATTTCAGAAAGTTTTCTGTATGAAGAGGCTATTGCTAGAAAAATCAAGATTCAAGCAGCCAGTTCATTGGTGCTTCCCAATGAGGGTTTTTGTGCAATTGCTCTATTTCATTTCGTTGTATGGTGATTCTAGTGTATAAACCACCCTGAGAGTACAAGACTTGTAAAAGCATTTTAAAAGGTGACAAATAAATAAACAAATGCTACTTATTTAAAATTGTTTTTAAAACACCTTCGAGTTAAAACCTTTTCAGTCCTCCCAAAGATACTTCTTCAGGCCCTACTTTAACATTTTAGTTTCATGTAATTAGATGCTATAATTTTGTTTCTTCTGAAAATATAAAAGTAATTCATTAGCCCCTGCTGGTCAATAACTGTTGAAGAGAAATAAACCTCTGCAATTATATTGTTCCCCTAGCTGAAAGTGACTAAAATATGTGCAGTGATGTGGATCCAACCCTTGCACTAAACGCCAGAGAAAGTGCTGCCTTTCCATTTTGCTTGATGAAGCAAATGTTTCTATAAACATTGAAAGATTTTTTCCTACACCTGCTAAAGTAAATACCAAAACATAATGGTTACCTGCTCAGGGAGAGGGGGTGGGGGGAGACAGCAACAACAGACTATAAAGGGGTGCACAATATTTTCATGTCTTCAAGGGGACTAGGAGCTACACATGTGTATGCAGACACACATGCACACACACACAATGCCACTAAGGGGATGTGTAGTTTCTCCACTGCCACAAGCAGGTGGGAAAAGTTTTGTATGCCTATATAAGCAGGACTAAATCACTATCATTCAAATACCATCCCAACTACCAGATCTTCGCATGTCTGCTCAGAAGAAAAGATGACAAGTAGCTGCATGTCTACCCACAAGTAAGCAGTACATTGAAAGAACACCCAAATACCGAGCCTCTACATATATACTCAGGAGTAAGCAGGACTCAATTACTCAGTATCTTCTACTCCCTGCGCAGAAAATGCCCAGCTGCTGATCAGAGATAAGCTTCTCCCTGCTAAACCATAGGAGAGGCAGCTTTTTTAGTGCTCCACCAGGGAAACCACTTATTGATGATCAGCTGCTGACTAACAAAAAGAGCATTCCCCAGCCGGGAGAGAGGGCAAGACCTGGGAAAGAAGGTAGCAGGTGGATCACCTGGGCTGTGGAGAAACATGGGTGTTAGTAGCTTCATGGGCTACACTGTGGTCTATGCACCACTGGTCTATATAAAATCATTTCTTTGGGCTGCTCCTATTACCCAATGTACTCTTAAAAGTTATTAAAGGTCTTAACCCTTTTAACATGCTTAGCACAGCTGGCTAGGGAATGCTATGAGCTACAGGGATTCTTTCTGCCTAAACACACATAGGGTTACACCCTAAGTGTCTTCTAATATCCAACTAAATCTGGTTTGTATGAACATGACCTTCCTCCTGCCATTGCTTCTCTACAGTGATCTTAATAACTAGCATTCCACTTCTTATGGGCAATTATTTAGATAAAAACTCAAAGCTACCTTAAAGAAGGGAAAACAGATGTTGACAGGGTTAAAGCAAGCCCATCACTGATTTTGCTGGAATTAAAATTGCATGCCTTGCGGTTTGGAAAGGTAAATCAAAACAAACATACGGATTGCATTTTTTCCTTTTCTCGTCTCCATAAGCCAAGTTCTTGCAGGCCTTGATGCATACTTCTAAAATGCCAGGTTTGAAGACATATCTGATAGCAAATTCTATTTCACCACTGACATCAGCTTTCTCAAAGCTTCCAGCATCAGTGCATGTGCTGTTAATACTGCATATACTATCCTATAATAAAACAAAAATGAATGCCATGTAAAAATCAAGGACGTAATAAAATGTGTTTTTTAGGCTAATTGGAATGTGTGATACAATGCCAGGATCTTGAAACAGAGTATCTATCTAACCTTCTGAAAAAGATTTCCCATGCATCTGATTTTCCCAAATTGTATGTTTGCTTCCTAAGTGAGTAAAGCTGTGTCTCCCCATCCCCACCCCTGCTTGGCCATCAGGAACCAAAGGAACCTCTATCCTAAGTGCAAGCAATATGCAGTTTGATCTGTGAACATCACAGCATTTCTCTGAAAGGGAGGACTCATGAAACTGTGTATATGCTTGGAAGTCAGAGGGGGATTTTGCACAGATTGACTGCAAGTAGTGCCAGTGAATGCTTATGCATTTTCCATGCATAGTGATGGAAACATAGGATCATCACTTACCCGTCTTATGCCTGCAGAAAATATACCGTCACTTATGGGACCAGACGGAATTCTCTTTTCACTGGACATCTTACTCGAAGCAATTTTAGTGTCATCTTGTTCTCCACTTATGAGCCGGTAAAGATTCGGGGAAAGCTCAAACTGTAAAAAACCCAGGTGCAACGAGTTTGCCATATTTATTTTTACTTAGTTAAAAATTGCACCCTACCCTTCTTTATAAAATCAAATTGAACCAATTTACAAAACACTTAAAATACACAACACATAATAAACAGTACAATAAAAGTAGTTCAAATGACTAAAATCAATTTCTTACATTAAAACCAAGAATAGTATAACACGATTCAGTATAAAAACAGGGAGACAGAACTTCAACGCACATTAAAAGCTTAATTAAATAAAGAGATGTTAGTGGCTTGTCTGAAATTTAAAACAGAGGTGGCCAACTAAATCTGGGTGGCACAACAGAAAAATTGGCTTGTGTGTATGTTCAGTTAAGGTAATTTCCTCCATCAGGCAATTTATAGCAGGTGCAGAGGCACTATTCCTAGCGGTCCTCTCTCCCACTCCAAAGGAGTGCCCCATTCTCTTCAATGGAGGACACAGTCTTGCATATGCATCTATGAAATTAAGCTAAAATTAACAGGGCAGCTTGTACATAGGAGGACTCTCCATATGTTTCTCCCACAGTTCTCATTTTCTAGTCTGCAGAAGTGGAGGCAGGAATCAAACCAAGAGTTCCAAAGTATGAATTGCAGAACCAAAGACAGAAAACAATCACAGCTATATAAACATTCAATTTGTGTAATTTATTTCTATCACCATCTGTTGTATTTTCTGATTACAGAATTTGGAACAATCTTAAGTACAGATTGTTTGGTTCTATGGGAATATTGGCTTCAAATATGGTGTATGTATAACTGCATACCCTGGATGCAATATCAATAGCAGTATCAGACAAACTTCTCCTGTCCTTCACTGGATCCTTTTGCTGTCCATAATCTGCTGTTAGAAGTTGGTTCTCAGCTGACATATCATTCTGGGACTTTGAGATTTCTAGAATGAAGAAAAAGAGAAAGAAAACGAATCCAACATGTTTGTCTTTATGAGGATAATCTAATGTCTTGCACTATGTTAAGCTATGACTTTAATATGAAACTTCTAAAAGAAAATGAATATTAGCATATTTAATCAGAGCTAAGCCACTCAAACTATCTCTGCTGTAAACAATAGATGTACTAAAGATATGGACTACAGGCTGTACATAACTGACAAGATATTTCATATATATTAGTTGTTTTAGGAAAAAATCTATTCGTTCAGTGTTCAGCTGGAATCAACTGTAAACAGGAATAGTTAATTAAGATCTAGTTCACACTTCAAGGGCAGTCATGTTTGCCATACACATTATGGGGGAAGGTTCCATGTCTCAAAGATAAAGTGCTTCCTTAGCATGCAAAAGGTTCTAGGTTCAATTCCTGGCATGTCCAGGTGGGGCAGGGAAAGCCTACAACCTTGGAGGGCCGCTGCCACTCATTGTAGACAATACTGTGCTAAATGGGCCAATGATTGACCAGATAAAGCCATACCATCACTGTCCTTTAAAATAGTAATCAACATTTACTCATCCATCACTTGCAGTACATGCAGAGATAAAGAGGTCACATCTTATTATCTCTAGGTAGGAAATGCCAGGTGTCTCTTTAGCTATCAGGAATATTCTGGGCTCATAAGTATTTTCATTTTATTTATATGGTCCAAACTTGAATGTCAAAGGCGGATGAAGCACCATATAAAAGTCTCTGCATAGGATTCCTCCATGACTGCACAAATCAGCTTTCATGCAGTTGGATACCCTGCTGTAATTTCCAATTGTGATGATTTGTTTCAAATTGCATTATGGTTTTGAGCTACTCTAACCTTACCTATGGAGCAATTTCCAAGTGAAGCCTTTCACCACTACAAGACAGCAACTTCTTTTCACATCAAGCTTCAGTGAACTTGCTATTGTAATGAAAGACAGATAGATGGCAAGACACCAGAGCACTTTACAGTATGATTTCATGTTTGTCTCCCTAGAAGTAAATCCCAAGTAAATTCCAAGAAAGTGGTTCTTTTATTCTTCTGAGTCGCATGTTTACCAACAAGGATCAAGATTAACAAAAGATTCTAACTTAGACTGGTAGAAGTATGCAAACTTCCAAGTTACAAGTACACAGACAGTCCTCCTAGTCAACAATTACTCAAGAGGACCCATTTCCCTGACATCCAATTATTTGCATGCAAGATTTTTGTATGAAGAAGCATTCAACCAACTGATTCATTTAGGAAACTGGTTTGCCTCCTGAATTAAACTGAATTAAATGCATGAATTAAAGCACAAATAGACATATACAAAGGCAGGAGTTTGGTGTGCAAATGCACTTCAAATAAGTTGGACAAATATTTAAACTTCCTCCAGCATGGATGACTAAATCATGGAAACCAGATCTACCAATTTATAACAGAAATTACAGATATATTCAGTGCTGACTGGCTGATACCATGCTGATACTCCATGGAGCAGTTTTCAGCTTTAAAAACTCTTATTTGTTATTTTCCTTAAAAATAAGGTGCAGAATTTTACACCAATGCACAGATAAACATTTTTAAAAATAAGCAGAGAACACACCCCAAACACTGGGAGGGGCAAAACAGAAAAAAAATCAGCACTGGAAACAGAAGCAAATATGACTCCGATTACAATGCAATGAAGACAAAACCCCCCAAAACTCTTGTTTGAAGCATTTCTGTTTGCTCTTTCATTTCACTAGGTTGCATCCCTTACTTTGGCTGCATATGCTCCTCCATTACCTTCTGAGACTCTCAAAGTGAGAGAAAGGGAATTGACTACTCCGTTTGGATCTATATTAAATGGCCTGACCACAGCTACATATTGACCAACTAAAGCATGTTGAACCAATGAAATTGTAGAATAGCAACACCTTTAAGAACACTTACTTTTAATATGTGTGGTAAAAGACAGAAAAAGATTTTCCATGGACTTGTGGAAACTTTTACCTGGGTCATGATCCTGCAATTCAAAGGAAGAAAAAGATAAAAGGGTTAGTTTGTCAGGGCTTCTCATGTCACATGCCCATTAGTAACAGCAAAGGAAGCTTGAGCACAGAACTGCAAACAGAGAAACTGTAGCCAAGCAATTATGGGAAACATTTTAGCATGAGAGTAACTGTTGCTGTAATTATGCAACAAAGAAAAGCAAATGGCATATTTGGAATATTATTATAATTTCTGTAATTTCTTTTTGAATGCACATATATCAAACTTCTAGTGTCTTTTTGATTGCTGATGGAAATCATGGCTTGTTAAAAAAAATAATCAACACTAGCCGCCATTAGTCCAGGTTGAACTCCTTTCAACTTGTGGACCAAATTCAGTTTTGGAGGGGGTCTTGAGGCCAATGGCAAAAGTTGTGGAGCCAAAAATGCCCAAATAGTTGGCTTAAACTTCATATTGCCAGTAACTAAGCCTTAGGAAAAGAATTTGAACATTTTAGAATGTGTGAAAAATTAAACCTTTTTTTAAAAAATCCATCTACAGTGGAAAGGTCTGGTAGAACAGCATAAGGCCACCTAGGGAATCCCCAGTGACCAGACTGGGACCCCAGGAGCACTGGCTTTGGCTCCTTACCAGTTTAAATATAGCAAGATTTCTCCGGTCTTCCCTACTTTCAAAACTTCATAGTTATCTCAAAATATAATCAACATATCCCAAACCATAATTACATTATTATACCATTGTTAAAATGAGAAGAATGTCTCTTTAATTTAATATGTGTATACATTCATTAAGCATATTTAATCATTCCACCCAAAAAGTTCAAAGCAGTTAAGGGCACACTCATATACTTGTTTAAACAAAAAAAGGACCATGCCCACAATTACAGTAGGAAAGATGGTGGCATCTTTGAGCTTGGTTTAGGGGCTCAGTCTAACAGGAGACAGCCAGAATTGCCACCCTGCCAAATTAAGAAATAAGTTAATGATTATGCCTGCCAGAACATCAAAACAGTGTGATTGTTCAAGACAAGTAGCTTTAAACCTAAGTGGTTGTCTCACACAGTCTGTAGGTTCTGATCAAGCAAATAACTGCAGAAAATATAACTGTAGTTATTCATGACCTCATATACTTTCTGTTAACTGCACTTTAGATTTAATCCTAGTGCGGAGGATCAAACATAGCTTACTATGATTAAATCTAGATCTGCCACCATCATGCAGAAAGTGTGGGGGAAGCAAAAGGGCCATGGAGAGGGAAAACTGCAGAATCCTCTTCCACCTGCTACTTCTCCCACGACAGTGCCCCTTCCCAAGTTCACTTCTTCCTGTCAGGCCCTGTTCCTTTATCAAAGAATGGCTGATGGAAAAATGCTGTTGGGAGAGAGACTGCAGAGATGAACTACAGGGGAAGCTCCTTATACAACTACCCCTTTTCTCTTTAAACCCGACCTCAACCACCACATCCATAAATTTCTATATAATCATATATCAGTGTCAAAAGTCTACCAGGAAAAATGGACTAAAAGATTAAAAGAAAACTATTACATGGAAAGGAAATAATAGAGAACAATGATAAAAATGTATGTATGGATTCTGCACTGAATTGAAAAATAAACCATACATTACCACTGCATTAAGTGGAGATTCACCAAATGGAGGGGGAGTTGGAGGAACCACCGATACCTTACTAAGAATGCAAGGAGAAAAGAACATAACCAAAATCATTTAAGTATATTTCTACAATGTTCTGTTCATTATAGCTTCCTCCTTCCACTATTCCGTATTTTAAACCTTCATCCATGGTTTTGAACACACTATTGCTTAAGATTGTTTACAATAAAATTACAATAAAAAGATAATCACATAAAATATAACCACAAGAACAATTTAAAAAGAGTCATAATAAACTTTAGTGACCAAATGCCAGCCTAAAGAAAAGAAAAATCATCATATCATGCCAGTGGAAATGTAACAAGGTGACACACTAGATCTTGCTAACAGAAGGATTTCATAACACATGTACGACAACTGAGTAGCCCATACTTTAGATCTTATGCAACCTAACATCTCAAACAGATTAGATGCAGAGCAAGGCCTATACATATATCAACTGCTTGGCAACTTAATCAAGATCTTCAGCACTTAAAGATATGAGCATTAGTACAGTCAAAACTAATTTATCTATCTGTCCGGTATCCCACAGACAAGTCACAACTTCTTGCTACTGACAAAAAGCTACAGTGGGTTAGTTCTTCTATGAACAACCCTTGGTGTACCCAAAAAACCATAAAGCTCACAATGGGTTGTTCACCACACTCACCCTTGCAGGGGACACTGCAGCAGGACCCAGTTGTCATCCCAACCCAGCTGAAATCTGAGGCATTTTCAGCAGGCCACAGCTTTTTGTTCCTTAACCTCCCCCTTGTTTTGTTTTTTAGATGAAGAAATTTAGCTTAAAAGATGCTGTTTGACACCCATTAACAGTCCCTTAAAAGTACCCCAACTGACACAATAGAAGGTCTGTCAGCAGTTGGCAGGCATTTTATTTTAAAAAGAGTACACAATGCGTGCAAAGTTTTCCGCTTTAAAAAAAAAAGGTGTTTAAAACTTAGTTTCTCAAGGACAAAGACCTTGCTGAGAAGAGGGTGGAAATCTTACCAACCCTTTTGGCAAACAAAGTTCACTCATGGCTTTGCTTTCCTTTGGTAGGTATCCTGACAACTGTCAGGAGAAAGCAAAGCGAGAAAAAAGCCTGTTTGGACCCTCTTTCAGTTAAAAGGTTGATACCTGCTACACTACGACAGCAAGAACTCCCTCAGCATTTTCCAATGGAAGGTCTCAATTTTTGCACTCACGCAACTGTACTCCTGCAAAGTTGTAACTACAGCTAAAAGAAATTAAAAAAACAAAAGCCCAAAATAATTTGTACACATTCTGTGCAAAAAAGAAAAAAGAAAGAATCACACACAACTGTTTAACCAATGACAGCCCCTTCAAGGTGCCATTTCTTCCCAAACTCCAAAACAAAAAAAGTAATGCAAAAAAAAAAGCTGTGATAAACTGAAAATTGCTCATAATCACAGCAGGTGACATCCAGCCATTGCCAGATGACCCCAAGAGCTGCATGGAAACTTGCAAGGGAACTGGTGCTGGCTCAGGAAACCTTGCCAAAAGCAGCAAGAGTTTTTGCCACTCTTGTGAAAACGCATGCTAGCCAGATCCTGGCATCCATGAGGAGATTGGTCGCCACAGCATGCCATCATGGTTACAAGGAGCCCTAGAACAATCCATCTGTTGCCCTCCGAGAAGCCACCCTACAAGAAACAGTCCAGGTTCACATGACAGAAGAACCCAACACAGGTTACAACCCAGGATGGATTCTTGTGTTGTATGAATCCAGTCAGTGTATGTACTCTGAACTTCTGATGTTAGCCAGAAACCTGGTATTAGAAGTACCTCTTTTAAGAGATTCCCATTATCATAGAAGTCATTAACATTCTTTAAACTGTTCTTTTTCATATGTATTAAATATTTTTGTATTTACAGGATTGGTCAGTAAAAGGTCATCTAACTATTAAGAACATTTAAAGAAATATACCATTTCTGTTCACCAAACATTTAGCGGAAAAGAAAATATATTAGATATATGTGCCAAGGAGCCAAGTGAGATGTAACATTAAGTCTTTTGCTGAGAAATGACCTTGCAGCCTTAGTGACTTAAACATTCAATGAGTATTCTTGCCACTGCATATTTGCTGCTTATCTGTCAGATTCCTGTCAGTCTTGGTATTTATTTTTAACCTTTAGCCTTACAATGATGAATGAGAAAGAAGTATTGAGCAAGAATTTACTGAAAATGTATGAACAACTCATTCCATCTGATGGCCTTATCTCTGCAAGCAAAGCAGTCATAAAGTCAGAGTTAAAGGGTCAGGATGCTACGGCCACAATGGGCAGCCTGACAGGGGGCTGCCACCTCCACAGTACTTCTCAGTTCACTGCTGAGAAGGTGGCTGGATCAGAAGCCTCACTGCAGTGCCACATAGGGGGACTGGACTAAAATGTAATGCTAAGAGCAGGAGCAGCGCTTTGGACAGTCTTGCTGAAATTTATCACTTGGGCAAAAGCAAAGCTGGTGCAATTCTGTATTATTATTTCCCAGGTAAAGGACTTGGGAATAGCTGTTTTCATTGATCACTTTGGTAAGTTTATGCTATATTAGCTGCAGGACTGATTATATGTCTGCAGCTGAAGGGTGCCCATAGCAGTGAGTTCCTTATCCCAAAAAAGTAAGCAAAGCTTCATTCTGATACTTAAAATATACAGGAAATGTTCCACTGAAATCACAGCAAGATGTTTCCAACTAATGTGTTTCAGATCAGAATGAACTGTGCTATGCCAAACCACTGTGATGCCTGATCCAAGACAGGCACTCCAGGATCTCTGCTGTGCTGCAGAGATTGTACAAACGGAATACTGATTTGTGATCGTTCATATGTGAACTCAGAGTTTCCCTAATTTCTTTTGCGATACTTCAAGGCATCCTTGGCCACCCATCTGAACAATGCATGCTGCTTCACTGGTCTCCCAAGAAATATTACTGCTGCATGACACTACTTTTCTTACTTGTCCAGTGAGACTTAATGTAAGCCGAATGGAAATATGAGCACACAAGCTTAATAGGTGGAATTAAGATAAGCATGTGGTCTGCCGTCCACTCACAAGGACTCTGTGATCCCAAGGCTCCTTGGCCTCTCAAGCCATTTTTTGACAGGGCAACCCTTTCTCCATTCCTGTTAAAGTCAATTCAGTGATCTCATGCCATTTACTTTAACAGAGCTGCAGGAAATTGTGGGCTGTTTAAAAATTGCTTGAAAAAGAGGGGAAAAGAAAGATAAACATCCGGAAAGGATAGCAAGGCAAGTAAAATCCAGAGAAGAGGAAATTGTAAAAAGAGAGAGAATCGATGGGAGTGGAGAAGAAAAATGAGAATCCAGAGAAGGGAGTGTTGCTAACATTTTGTTTCCACAGAGATTTATAGTGGTGACTGGGACACTTATCTGAGGCATCTAATGTGCCTACAGGCACCAGAAGGTTGTCTACCTCCAATATAAGTCACTCAAATTGTGCAGCCAAAGCACTAACAAATATTAAAATGCTGCTTATTGTATTATGAGCTTTTAGTATTAAACTTGGACATCTGCTGGAGGCTTCAAAAAGTAGCTTACTCTGTGGTGTACAATGCACTCCTTGTGCAGCATCTACTTCTCTAGGACTGGTTGACCTTCTTGTCCTTACCTTAGCTTTTGATAAGTTTTCAAGAGCTTTGCACCAGCAGTTTCATGTCTACCTATGAAGCAAGAAAAGAACCCATGAAGGTCATTTAATAATAATAAACCTGTACTCACATAACAAATATTTTGTTGCACTTTTTGTAAACTCTTTATTGGCACACTTCAACTCTGCTAGCTATTTAAGGCTTAAAAGTTCCAGTATTTTTAGGACTATTATTTGAAATGGCATTTTAAGTTTATTTCTTGATTTGGGGTCAAACAATATCCAAGCATTCATCGTAGAAACCTAAGGTGCAGTTGAAAAATTCAGCAAGCGATATCATGAAATGACAGCTGTATTTATTTTATTTTATTTTATTTTATTTTATTTTATTTATTTAGGATATTTCTAGGCCATCCCTCACTTTTGTCTCTGGACAACCTACAATAAAATCTATTGTAAACTTTTCTTTCTGCACATAACACAATTTGAACAACTATAAATCTGTATAAATAATTGCCCACTATGCAAATTATTCTTATTCTTATAACGCTTTCAAATCCAGTAAGAGAAAGGCAATTTATGTGATTCAGTTGATTGATTGGTTCAATTAATTAATTGAATCACATAAATTCCATGAATAAAGAAAGGCATAAAGCAAAGTGCCAAGGCACTTGGCAACAACTGGGCCAGGAGCACTCCACAGAAAATGGGTTTACCATACAACATGCAGAAAAAATGCTGGATTTTAACTCAGCTGCAGTTTAATTGGTTACAGCTAAAGTATGATGTGGCATACGGCAGGATTACTGAACTGAGCAGCCTGTCTGCCACACCCCAGCCCCTGTATTCAGTAGCCCTTTAATGAGGGGAGGTTTTACCACAGCATGAGTAAGTCCTGTCATCTCAAGTAATGTTTCCGTGGTTCCCTGCTCACCTGAGAATGGGGTCAGCTTAGAGCCCTCAAGGTGTGCTGCAGCCCCATGGCTCAATCCTCAGGAATCATCTCTGTCCTTCTGTGCTTCAGGAGGGGGCTTGTGCTGTCTTCCCCTTTTATTTGGATCTAGACCAATGCCACCTGCCTAAGAGGCTGTGACAATTCTCCCTGCATATTAATTTCCTATCAGCTTACATTTCTGTGGGAAGGGCAAAACCCTTGTGAGGCATGCCAACCAGTCCTGCCAGGTAAAATTCTTTCTCAGCCCCATCAACCACAGGCTGACTGATGTCTACAGCAATGAACCTGTGCTTGAACACTGGGTGAGTTGGTCAAATCCACAGCGGTCGGTGCTGGAAGAGAGGCCAAGTCAAGCCTGCAGCTCCCTTTAAGTAACCAAAGCACAAACTGGAAAGAAAACTTTCCCCCAACCTGCACCCAGCCCCCTTCTCTCCAGCCCATTGCACCCAACTGGGCTGAGGGAAGTGCACTGGGAGGAAATGGTGTAAGCCAGGCCAGGCCAGGCCAGGCCTGCTTTCCCTTTCCCACCATGACCATCCATACTTTGGCACATACCAGGGCAGTCCTGGACTCAAGCTTATTAGTGGATATGTTATTACAGCCATTTATATGAGATGAATTATTAACAATACAGAAAATAATTCTTTGGCATAATCAACTGAGCCAGCAATAAAAATGGTTTTTCCGTGGCTAAGTGCATGGTAATCCATACAATGGTTTTCCAGCAAAAAAGGGCATGACTGCACATTCTGTGACAAATCTGTTTTGTGTACTCTATTTACTAATTTATATCAAGTGGACACCAATATAAATCTGGAAGCGCTACAGGAAATTGAACGATAGGGCATTAAAATAATGAATAAGCCAACTGTGTCCCTAAACTCTGGCTTCTTTTAAAAGGGCATTTTTTGACAGAGATCTACATGATTTTTTCAAAGAGATAATAAATAATATTGCCAAGAAAGGGGTGGTACATCCTGCCACCCTCTTTTTGTAAACACAATTTATTTGCATTTTTATTTGTCTTGACAGCTCATTTTTTGATTGCTGTCAAAACAAACCAAAAGGAGAAAAGGGTATGGGAAGCTTTCCTTTATCCATGTCTAGGGTTGCTAGCTGCTACACTTTTGCAACAAGTACCTTCCTAGCCACTGCCTAGGTGAGCCTCTCTACTTTGAAGCTTGTGCCAAACCAATAATCAGTTTTTAAAAATGTGCCAAAAGATTTACATACATTATGGGGTGCAAAAAATAATTAAAATTATCTTGGCAACCATGGATAGTCACTCCAGGTGCCGCTTGGGAACTCTGAGGGGGTTGCCAGTGGCTGACAAAATAAGAATAATGAAAACTCGCTGTCATATTAATGGTGGTTGGAGTTTTAAAAAATGTTTTCCATAATTAGCTACCTTGGATACCTCAGCTGAAAAGCAGCCTAGAATTCTTTTCAATAGATTATGTTTACTTTATTTGTCAAATGACTAGCCCTTTTTAGTTCAAATATTCTCAAGTCACTTTTCAGTTACAGGGGGGAAAGGCACACCAAAAAATTTCAAGATGAATAGAAAATTATAACACAAGGGAACCTTGTGGCTAATGGGGAGGGCTAAAAAAATCAAATAAATAAATAAAGGGTACCTACTCTATTTAAGCAATCAGTGAAATGCAAATAATTATTTAAACACAGATGCCTAGTTAACAGAAATTGACTGACTGACAGTCATACTTCGTGCAGTTCCTTTTTTTTTCTCTGTGCCAACTGTGGCAGAAGCTTGTATTGCCCTTGTAACAATTACTGAGGACTGGTTGCCAAGAGGCAATTAACTGCTGTTAGCCCATTCATTTATTTTTGCCTCAAGAAAGTCACAAAACAATAAAAAAAAAATTTATTTGGCTGCAGTTCTGCACATGTCCAGACAGCCTGAGTGCCATTAACTTGAATAAAACTTAGGATGCCCAAGCTTGAGTAGAATTATATTTTTTAACTGGAACAGCTTCTGCATACTTTCAAATGCTAGTTACCATTCATAAGCCTGGATGTTCTTTCTCCAATACACATATATTCCAATAAAAGATCTCATATTTCCTACTAATTTCTTGTTCACTTTCCAGGACAAAGAAAGATATGAGAATAATATGTTAGTAAATCAGTGAGTTAACACCATCCTACCATGAACAAATTTGAAATTCATGGATATGAAAAGATGCATTCCTAGAAGATACTCAATATTCAGGCTTGCTGCAAGGCCTGTGGGCCACCTGCAGCTCCCAGTTGGCTTAAGTGCATCCTTCTCTCTTTGTAGAAGCTGCTAACTACCTGTGAGGGACGTGGGTGGCACAGTGGTTTAAACCACTGAGCCACTAGGGCTTGTCAATCAAAAGGTCAGCAGCTTTTGCCAACCTAGCAGTTCAGCAGCATGCAAATGTCAGTAGATAAATAGGTACCATTCTGGTGGGAAGGTAACAGTGTTCCATGTGCTTTTGGCATTTAGTCATGCCAGTCACATGACCATGGAAACTGTCTGTAGAGAAATGCTGGCTCCCTCGGCTAAGAAACTGAGATGAGCACAACCCCTGGGACAATCACAATCATCTTTGATGGGGGATCAAGTCAAAAGCAAGAGGACTGGCTACCTGCACGGATGCGATGCACAGCTGCTGGACACAGAACTGAAATGGAATGTGGGGGGAAGAGCAAGCATCATGAACTTGCACTGGGTCTAACCTCTGTGCCATGGGTTGGACTCAAAGTGGCTCCTTTTTGAAAAATAGCAAAGACCACTAATTTAGGAAGTTCTCTGCCATTGAAAACTGTCCAGAACACTGAACAAACAACTTATCAACAATACAAATGTTGCCAGTTTTCATTACTTGTGTATGTCCTAATCTTATACTGGTAACTTTCCCTTTCTCCAAAGTTTTCTCTGTCAATATTTTAAGATGTTCTGGTTCTTGATCCTATGAAAGTTAACAAGAAAGTGACCAAAGACTTCAAACTACAATACTGTTACATTTACTTCAGAGGGCAAAATCAAAGCTAACTTCCACTCATGCAACAGACTTCGCCTCTTCTTCCCTAGTTCCTCTGCAAAATCTGCTTTGCAACAGTGGTGTGGTGAAACCAGGACTAGCAGGGCTGAAGCACTGGGATATTTGATTAGCAGGGGCAAATATGTTACAGTCCACCAGCTCAGATATCCCTTTTCCATCTGAGCTTCAGTGCAATTGTTACAGTGGCTATCAGTTATCCTGCCGTGATGCAGCAAAGTATTTTCAGATGGCTTGTTCTTGAATGGGCAATTGAGTCCCATCAACTTCATAAAAGATCTTCTCTACCTGGAGGAAAATTTCTGGAACTGGTCTGTTCATAGGGATCAGGGCAGCTACCTGCATTTTTGGACTCTCCTTTGCGGAATTAATATGGGGACTATCTTGATGAGTTCCTGCACTTCAAAGTGTATCACCACACCATTGCTTGAGACCATCCCCAACCATCCAGAGGGCACTCAGAGGGCTGCTGTGGGAAGAAGTTCTTCCTCTCCCTGTCCTGCCGACAGAAGTCATTCTTTTGATGAAGCTAACTGGATACAACCAACTTGATGTTTTCATGTTTAGTTTTAAATTTTTAAATTTAAAGCATATTTTTTATTGTTCAATGTGCCTTCTTCTCACATTGCTATGGTTGTTCACTGTCTTGAATTTCTAGGAGAAAATGTGGGGAATAAATAGTTTAAAACTAATTAACTCATAGAGACCATATTTGAGCCCAAATCTCAAGATTTGGTGGTGTTTGTATATAGTACAAGGCAATTTATAATGCGAACACAAACAAGTAAACCTGCAAAATAAGTAGACTGTCACATGTAGTTTTACAATATGCTACATAAATAAATTAAATAAGAGGAAAGACAAATAGCCATTGCTGTCTAAGACAAGTAGGAATCAATTCAGTCTAAACAGTTATTTATGATAAGTGTTTACAGACAAGGTAGAATATACTGTACTTACTTAACATACTTGATATAATTTCCAGTACTGTAGCTAAAGAGATTACATTTTGCAGTTTTATGCACTCAGATTTACATTCTATGGAATCCATTTTTATTTCAGATTATTCTTGCTGTGATGGCAAAATGTAAACTAGAAGTAATAGGTTATCGATTTTTCTGATATTTTATTTAACAGAGTAGAACAGAGTTGTGCTTTTCTTAATAACTACCTTCAGCTGGAAATTTCCTTGCTCGTTTCTCAAAGAACCACTCGCCTGTTTTGACTTTAATTTCCCTACAAAAACAAACAATAAATATTGTAACTACATAATATTGTAAAGATGAATTTTCATAACCACATATGGACTTATTGCAAAATAACGACCAACTCTTTCACAATGATAAACAACAGTGCAGTTTTAGCTATAGCATAGAGAGGGCTATGGTTCTGCACAAGCAGAGAAAAACCATCACAAATTGCTCCCTCTGCTGGCCAAGGACTAGCATAGCAGTCCTGGTAGTTGCAGGATTACTGCCCCAAACAACTGTAGATGCCAGGGCTCTCATGAGCACCTCCTGGGAGCCCTGGAGGAAGAGCTATATAAGAACTCTTCCCTCAAACTATGGCCCAGGGGCCGGATCCAGCCCACCATGCCCATTTGGACCTGCTGCATGCGTGCCCACCACCACCCACCTTGCCCCACATGTGGGGAGGCAGCAGTTTGCTCGCTCGGGGAAAATGATCTCCAAGCAAGCAAGCCGCTGCCTCATGTGCCCACCTTGCAGCACGTGCCTGCCCCCGCCTCACCCCGCCTCCCCTCACCACATGCCCGCCCCCACCACAGCATGCATGCCCGCACCCGCCACCCCCACCCCCTCACCAGCTCGCCGGCACCACCTTTCCGGTCCGCACCCAGCACAAGCACATTTCAACTGGCCCCCTGGTGGAAAAGTTTGAGGACCCCTGCTCTAGAAGCTGCCTTGGCAACAAAGGTCTTCCGATGTGCTGAACTGTTTCTTGGACTCTATTCATGATCCTGCTCCAGCCCTCAGGTACCTGCTCCCCTCATCATTGTCTCCTCCGTTTCCTGACTTCTGGCTTGTTTGACCACACTTGCCTCTTGGACAGACTCTACCTTGCTTTCCTACTCCTGGCACTGACCTTAGACTCTTTGTCTATGATTTAGATTGAACCTTGAGCCCTAACCTGGTTGCCTGACTCCTGGTGCCCCTGCCAGTTAGTCAGCTGCCCATGCACCAGACACTGACAGTGATGGGTATGGAGTGCAGCTCCTTGAGAATCAGCTTTCTTTCTTGATGACGCTTTGAGCCCATAAAGAATGTTAAGGCCTGAATGGCTACAGTTTAGTTAGAAACCAGAGTTTAAAGCTGGTTTGTAAGCCTTAGTTTAAGCTAACCATAATTAACATTAATCTTAGTGCAGTTTTTATATTTTACAATAATTCATACTGAAGAAGTAAAGGGTTAGGGTTGGGGAGTTAGAACAGTAAAAGTGCACAGGGGACTGCAGGGAGCTCCTGATCTTTTAATCATGGTTAAGATCCTGACAAACATTATGTCTATACCACATCACTAGAACTTTTCTTTTTCTATCCAAAATGTTATTCTTACCTATGCAAGTCTAAATTCTGTTCCTGCAGAGTAAGAGAAAATAAGTGGTGGCCCTAGGAGTCTTCCATTTGAATTCACCCACAAATTAATCATTTCATGGACTAAACAAATCATGATGTTTTTGATTTGCAGTGACTTTTTCATTTGTGTAAATCAGTCATGAGTGGGTAGGTGATTTCAGTTAAGGCTGAGGAATACAGGTTTAAAGATTCAACCCAATTTTCTGGTGCAATCCATTCCAAGAGGCTTCAAACTTCTTCCCTTAGTCATAAACCTGACACAAATCCATGCTCTTCCTACAGCCTTTTGGAACAGGAAATGATGCTGGGAGATCCCATATGGATCTCCCACATGATGTATAGTTTGGTCCTGCAAACTAGACCTTAGATGGCTCTTGAAAGATTTCTTTGGGTTGATTTATAGCTGCTTCCAATGTGGAGAACATGTCCTTTCTGAATTATACTATGTAAGAGTAGAGGCAGAGTTTCCTTATTTGAAAGAAAAAGGCATACCTTGTATCGGAAAAGCATAATGCTAGGAGAAATCTGGCTAAAATACTTTTTCTAATATGATAGCTTTTCATGTCAGGGAGGTGCTATTTTTATATGGGAAAAATATAAAAATGGGCTTGTGTGGAGGGATCAATTATCTGAGTTGAGATCACAGTGTCGTACAAAGAGTTAAAACCTGTTTGTCCTCTCAAATATTCCAAAACAGGCTGGGGATCCCTATTCCTATTTACTTTTGAAAAGTCATGCTGTTTATCTAATGTGGACTCCAGTTCTTGTGAACAGAGACATTTTTTATGCTGAAAATAAATTTAAATCTATAATAAATCAACACTATCTAGACTGTGCCCTTTGCTTTCCCTTTCTCCTGAGGGCTGTATACGGCTTCCCTTGTTCAGATCATGCCATTTGCCTCCCCGCTCCCTAAAAAACATGTGTTGCCTTTTCTTCCTTTTCAGCACCTCACAGCCCTGTATTTCCTGCTGACCAAGTCTTCAAGATATACATTCCCAACCAACAAATAAGCTGACTCTGCCTTTTTAATTTCAGAAAGCAACCAATGAATAACCAATGAAAACTGAAATACTGCTTTTGAGCAATTTCAGTAGAATTCCTTACTCATGAGCATAGCAGAAAGTGCACTTCCAATGGTAGGGATTCAGTTTGACACGACATCCAGTGCATACTTGATGACTGCAGCCACTGCACACTGCGCCTCTACTGAACAACACACCAAGAGACTTTTGACAACGGGCACACGACTTTTTCTGATATTCAGAGCTTGCACTTTTTGCCCCTTTCCACTGACGTTGCTGCAGCTGTGTTTTCATTTTTCTGTTCCCAGCCAGGAAAAAGTAAAACAAAATTGGGTACTGCAAAAATATATTTTCTCTAGAACGATCAATAATACAGCATTCTCTAGGTAATTTAACAGAAACACTTTCATACTTAATATATTGTAATTGGGACAACCAAGATTACCTGAGGATAAAAGAGATCAACCCCTCTACTGAATAAATTAAACTTGAACCCATGGTCCTAAGTAATTACCAAACATTTATTCCATTCTTAGATAATACTGATTACTGGCATCCCATCCAGTCTGGCTTTCTTTTCTGACCTGTACCCAAAACTCTATCCTTTCTCCTGTGCTTTTGCATATCAACCTGAATCCAGTGAGGAAAGTAATCTAGGAGTCTGGACTAGAGCTTTATTAGTCTACTGGTATACACAGCTCTACCTTGCATTTCCACCAGCTGATCACAGGGAACCTACAGAATCCCTGATTGGGTGTTCTTGTTTTTTGTTTGTAATGATATGGGCTACAAATTTAATCCCAACAAGAACCAGAAAGGAAGAAATATGAATTTAAGCATTTAATTGGTTCTAGCTGTGGAATACTCTTGTTTTGGAAGTCTAAATTTGCAGTTTGGTGGTCCCATCGGGTTTTGGGTTCTCTGTGGAGAAGCAGGTAGCTGAAGTAGTCAGGACTGCCCTTTACCAGCTGAGATTGGTACACCATCTACAACCCATATTTGGATGTTAAGGGTCTTATCTCAGTTACTTGTGTAAACCCTATGTCTATATCCAGATTGAATTACTGCAGTTAACTTTACATGGAACTGCCTTTGGAGAGAGTTCAGAAGTTTCAGCTATTGCAGAATGTAGAAGCCTGAATTCAGGAAGGGCAAGGCACCTGAAGCATATTACATCAATTTTGCACTCATTGGTCCCAGGCTGCTGACTTTTAAAACCATAAATGCTTTGAGATAAGAGGTTTTCTACATGAGAAATTTATTATGCAGTTCTGATTTCTCATTCACATTAGTTCGGGGCTGGTTGACCTCCAGGACCTTTCCTGTGCTTTGCAACCATTTCTGCAACGTTTTTTAAATCAAGGAAAATGTAATATTTAGAAATAGTGCAGTGAAAAATTTGCATATTACACAATTCTGATACACCACAGCTCCATTTTGTGGTTGTGTAAAGGAGCCAATCTTAATCCAGCAAGGAAGGTGGAACTAGACACTTAAATACAGTGACAGGTAAAAGCCTTATGCAGAGAAGTCTCAAGTTAGTAGAGAGACTTCCTGCACCAGTACACACCTGCCTGAGTATTATGATTGGCTGTGGGAGATTTGCTGATTTCCAACTGTCAGCAGCAATTAGATTGGTGGGCCCAAATGTTCGTGCCTTCTCAGCAGCTTTTAGATGGTTTTTAGTCTTTTATGCTGAAGTGTGAATTTTTATTTAACTAGCTTTTTAAAAGAATGCCAAGAAACACTTAAGATGTTGTTTAATTATTAGTTCTGCTTTATTTGATTTTATGTTTTGCTTCTGATGGTGTAATGTTGCTTTTGAGGTAAAATATTTCAAATCATGTAGAAATAAAATCAAAATGTTTTTTCTATGCACTTAAATTTTATACTGAAATAACTGTCCTCAGGAGAAGAGTGTCTGAGGTTTGCTTCTTTCCTTCTTCTCTAATTTTTAAATAGTTATTTGGATAAATCTACTAGGGAGTTTTCTAACATATTGAAATAGAATTGTTGTTACATTAGTGATTAACAGGACTATTTATCTGAAATAACAGAAAAATTGATGGGGGATCTAACATGTAGGATCCTAATGCTTGCTGTGAAACAGTTGGAATTAAATTTTAGTTCTTAGCACAAGGAATATATAATGCATCAATTAATAAAAATCTGTCTGCAAGTTTTCAGCAATAAGTAGTCTAGCTAAGAATCTGAGAAGAAAGCTTTAGAAAAGATGAGAAAAATATAAAACAAAACAAAATAGGAACAAACAACCACACAACATATTTTAAAACAGCAACATACCTTATTCTTTCTTCATCTACCTTTCTCAGAATCTGGTCACGATATAAGACATCCAAAATAACACCTTGCTCCAGTCCTTTAAGTAAGCTGAGATCAAAATCCTCAGACATTTTCTCTCCTTTTATTCACAATAGTTCAACTCTTGATCTTCCCCTGCACCCCTACAAAAGGTGGGTTTTGCTGAAGTCTTGTGATACGGTTTGGCAATCAAAAGATCTTGGATCACTTTTAATTTCCTGTGTCTTCCTTTCATCAGCGTTGTGTCATACTTTTCAAGAGGGCTGAAAAGCATTTCCACAATCACACCACCAACTGAACATACTTGCTGTGTTGAGCAACAATTGTCCACTGTCTCCTGTAATCAGAGGGATTTCAGGCTCCCAATCTGCTGCAGGTAGCTTCTAAACTGATAAAACAGTAAGAGTTTGGTCGCGATCAAAAATTCTGCCAAGAAATTTGGGGCACATTTCAAACTATCCAGGAAAAAGAGGGAGAAATCCTATTTTGTGGTAATGTCAGGAATTCCATATTAGGACATTACTTGGGGGAAGATTGTAACTTGCAAGACCTATGGAGAAAGGGAAAAAAAAGAAAACTTTACTTGCCAAAACTTCTCTTTTACTAATTTTGAAGAACCATTGCTAGTTCTGAATTCTACTGAAAATAAGAACACACACTTTCTGACATATTTCATAAGCATTATCCAATCATAGCCAAGCTCTGAAATATAATTAATCTGTCTCAGTCTCATTACAATACAATAAGCACTACGACCCATCATAGTGCTTATTCTGCTGCAAATTATCTGCCTCCCTCTTTAAAAAGAACCCACAGGATTGCATAGAAGCCATTTTGCCTTATGTGAATCATGAAACATTTAATAAAAAAACAATAAAATTAACAAATCAGTAAAAAGAACCAAGAAATTCTGAGATTACCCAGAAGACAATTGCAAATATAAAGACACCTTAACTAAAATACATACTCCTCTGCTTGCTCCTTGATCCTCCTCTTATCCCATCAAAGTGAAACATAAAACTAGTATGTGGTGAAGGCCAGATGCTCTATATACTCTCTTTTTAGATCAATCATTTATATGTCTTAATAGCTAACAGGCATCATATCTGAATCATGTCTCACTTGTGTCTATAAAGGCAGCAAAAAGGGTTTCTTGTGCAGCCAATGCGGTTACCACTAACAACACAAAATTCCACACAAAATCAAGATTGTGTTTTCTTTCTGACATTATGCACTAATACCAGCTCATAAGTTAGCTAAGTGTGCATATAAAGTGAATAGAAAAACTCATGCACACATATACGTATAGATGACACCACTTTTAAATAAAAACCTACTGTAAACATGGAGAATGTTGGCCAAAACAGCCATAAAAAGGAAATACAAGTAGGCTGTAACTGATGGAAAGATCACTCTTCATCTGGCACTTTCCAGATGTAAGGCAGGCTTCCCTATCAATCTCCAGAGGTAGCATCAGAATTTGGGAGGTACAGGGTAGAAGCAAATGACTGAGTTCACATGACACAGTAACCCATTATGAATACCTAGCCATTGTGGGTGGTTGTGTCATGTGAACCCAAACTGCTTCTCACAATATAGCATATATTGGGGTGACAAGCCACCCTGATAATCCATCATTTGTTTTAAGGGTTGTTCAATCCACGATTGTCCTGTCATCTAAACACGGGAGAACAATTCACTGTAGACAGTGGGGAACAGTTAACAAATCGCTCAGTAAGAGCAGCAAAACCCCATTGTTCTTTGCAATCTTGCCTTTTGCTGCCACCACTGACCGCTCCTCCTCCAATGACTAAGTGGCACTTTTGAGTGACCATCACTGATTCACCACCTTAAAAAAGAAGTATGTTCTCTGCTGAATTTTTTTGTTTCTTTCCTGGAGCTTTAAACAAGTGTAATTAGGTTCTTTTTAAACATTTTTTTGGCCCCAGAAAATTTTGCGACTGTGTCATTTTAACAAAAAATTATTGTTGGTAGTCCTGCTTTGTCAATGCCTTTGTAAGTTTCAGCTGTCAGAAGCAGCAAAGAGCAGTACATGGAAACTGATAAGAAGGCAGCATATTTGTGTGCGATCTCAAGTTGTGAATTGCCTATGGATTGAAAACTGGGAGGGGGAGGGGGGATTACATACTCCAAAAGGGGGTAGTGACGATATCATACCCTCAGTAACCCAATGCTGTGGCTTTTAAGAGTTGAACCAGAAGTTCTTACTGTCTTCTACCATTGCAATACCATTCTCCACACAAACCTGATAGTATCCTTACTGCCATGGCTGCTGCAGTTTCCTAACAGTTCCAAATGAAACTTTGGGGAGGATACTGAATGGGATCAAATTAATGGGTACCCAAGTGGAGAAGTGAGTGTAAGTACCACTGGTGCAGGTGTCCTATTTTCTCCATCCCATTCTGCCTTAAGGTTTTTTTCTTTTTGTTTTTAACCACCAGGAATATTTGTGTGAATAGATGCAAATTTAATGGCTGGCAAGTAACTTGAGATATTGGAGCACTTGATGAAGGTGCACAGATCTCCCCTCCATTCATTGCCCTGCCCTTAAAGAGGGACACAGTTCCCCTCTGCTTATTTTCCAGATATTATTTCTCAGTCCCTCCAAAATGTGATTTGTGGACTGTCAGGGAACATGGTAACTGCAGAAGTAAGTGCTCTGAAAAGGAGAGTTTAAAAAGTGTGTGCTGGGGGTGGTTAACATCACCCCTTGCTGGAGACTCAGGAATGTGCTGAAAAAACAGAGGTGCTTAGTTTGTCACTTTAAAGCCAGAAGATTACACTGCTAAGGGAGATTGTCACTACTGCCTTTTCCCTTTTACTTTTTTGTTGATGGCTAAATACCTGTCAGCAAGCAACTATGTACAAATTACCCTGTATGCAAACTCAGCCTCTCTATTTCCATGTGTGTTATCTATCACATTCTGCTCCCTTTGACAACTGAAACTTACAAGGCCATTGACAAGGCAACACTGCGCATATCAGATAGCTATAACTGCACATTGGTGCATCTATGAAAGACAAGCTATAATTATAATCAAAATGTGACAAACACAGTCATGCAATTTTCAGAGGCCAAGTAAAATGATCTAATTGCATTTTTGAAGTGTGCACACTTCCATGAGCATGCACACACACATATACACATATATGAGGTATGTCCAGAAAGTGAGCATGAAGTTCCTATGCTCAAAAAGGGAGAAGCGGGCTGAGGTCACTTGGGGTGGGGTGCCAGGTATATGTTAGAACACTGATCCATTGCAGTCCGGCCCTGTCAGAATCAAGCCATTCTTTTTTGTGACACTCTGTTCAAGTGCCTTGTATTAAGAAAAATGCAAGTGAGTTTGGAACAACAGTACGCAATAAAATTTCGGGCGAAGTTGGGTAAAAGAGCATCAGAAACATTTGGAAATGGGGAGAACAGCTTATGGAGAAGCTGCACTATCATCTGCACAAGTGTACTGATGGCACACGGCCTTCAAGTAAGGATGAGAAAGTATTGAAGACAAACAATGACCAGGATGCCCCTCTTCGTCAAAAAAGGAACAGAATGTGGATGCATAAGGTCTGTTCAGAACAACACACTGAGTCACAATACTTTGGCTGTCAGACCTTTTGGCTGAAAAACACATCACAGTGCTTCTCCATCCACCCTACAGCCCCGACTTGGCTCCTTACAACTTTTTCATACTCCCAAAGATGGAGAATGGTTTGAAAGGACACCATTTTGGTAGTGTGGATAACGTCCAAAGAGCCACTATGCACACTCCAAATGCCATCCCACTTGAAGACTTCCAGGGATGCTATGAAGAATGCAAAAATTGCTGGGAGTGTTCTGTACCCTCACAAGGTGAGAGCCAGTGTGGTGTAGTGGTTAAGAGCATGGGACTGGGACTCAGACGATCTGGGTTCTAGTCTCTGCTCAGCCATGGAGCCAACTGGGTGACTTTGGGCCAGTCACAGACTCTCAGTCCAGCCTACCTCACAGGGTTGTTGTTGTGGGGATAAGATGGAGGAGGAGATGTAAGCTGCCTTGAGCCCTTTGTAGAAAAAAGGCAGGATATAAATAAAAAAATAAATAAAAAGGTGTATACTTTGAAGGAAATAATGTTCACTTGTAAAATTTTTCAATAAAAGGATTTTTAAAGTATCATTCTCATTACTTTCTGGACACACCTTGTATATATAGTGGTGGCAAATGAAAAGGCATGCAATTAGAAGTGGGAAGCAAAACAGATTCTCCCAGGAAGGATACTGGAATACTAGCTTGAGGAGAAGGAGTGGGAAAACAAGCCACAGTAAGCCAAATCATTTGCCAGGTGCACCATGGATTGTTCCACAAATTATCTGCACAGCATAGCTTATTTGCAGGATGGATTAATGTATTATATAAACACACCCATTGTGTGTGCAATGTGATTCTGACCAAAGCCAAAGTATGGTCCTGAGTCTGTCAGTTAATGTAAAAAATACAGCTCTTTGCCTTGACTGATGGCACTAAAAACTGAGCCAGAAGATCATTCCTTCTTGCAGTTTGGGAGTGGTATGTGTCGTCTTTTACTCCTTAGCAGCAAACATATCAAAACATGTTGTCAAATCAAAAATATTCTAGCACTCACAACACCACCAAAAACAAGGTATACAAGACTTCGTGTTTAAATATGGCAGTGCAGTGTTAATGCAGTCTTTAAACCAGGCTCACTTGCAACATACCATGCCAAGCTGATGGTAAGTTAATTATAAGGAATAATTATATAAGGAATTCTAAGGACTCAGTCCAAAGTTTTCTGAATGTTTTATTAATCTTTAAAAAGCTTATTATATAATTTCATGATAAATGAGCTATTTATGTTTTAAAAACAAAGGAGCCTTAAAAATAACAGAACTTATTTTATTATATAAATAGATTATAATTATATATTACTGGGCTTAAGTAGCTATTTCTGAAACACTTGAAGGCACAGGCTAGAGTCTGAAATCACTTACTGTCAAATAGTGATGAAACTTCTCAGAAGTAAAAGGTTTGAGGTTTGCAGTATTAGAGAGTAAAGAGGAAGGAAGCCATGAGTAGCTTGTGATGCATCATTTCACATTACCAATATCAGCGACATAAGTCCCTACTTTTTAAAGAAACTAAAGCAAATCTACATCAACATATGTTTCATGTATATATTTTAATACACTTTCTCACAGAAAGCCTTTGTTAAGAATGGAATTTGTTTTTTAAATCCATGGAACACTCTTCTGCCTGAAAAAGGTACTCAGCTACCCTCATTTAACAAACCAACTAAACACAGATATATGCTGGCAAATCCTAAATCACAGCAAGGTGAAAGGAGCAGAGTTGGCCCAGTTGTGTATACTGTTGATCAGCTAAGGATGACCTACTGCAAAATCATGGGATAAGAGCAATTTTAAGCATGGTTAGACAGATTCAACTCCTAAGATTCCCCACTGCTGGCTAGTCTTCGTTCAGAAATATCAAGGAATCAGCCAAATCTCTAAAGTTCAAGTTCTGGAAGTGTTTTTATGTACCTCTCTCTCAAAGTACAGTTAACTACCAAATATCCATTTAATTTGGGAACCTACTATAAAGAGAAATTCATGTACTGACACTCCAGCTCATTGCTTTATAAGTTTCTCAGACTGAAGGACACAATGGAGTTAAATGTTCTCTATAAGGTCAGTAAAAGATTGGCTTTAATTTAAAAAAATACCGGATTACAATTTTATGTGATGGGTATTTGCCTGACAATAAAGACAACAGAAATGGGCATCCTTTGTGCAGTAACGAATGGTCTCAAAATTCCTGGCAGCTGAATGGTAAAAGTGTTCCAAATGCATTACTTCAATAATCTTGATAAAGGTTGGCCAATATTATTCTTCCTTTCCATAAAAGCCTGAGGTTAAGAATCACACCTTGCCTAAGAGTAAGCCTACCTAATGGATTTTTAGCTGAGGCAAGATCTGAATTAGAAACCTTCAGGTTCACAATTCATAGCAGTAGACACTACATTATACCACAGAAACTCACAATGGCTTCTTGTAGAAGTGCATCTTTAAAAGGCACTGAATAAATGCAGCTGCAGTGTTTTATCATCCTTACCTGATCAGTAATGTGAATGACAAATTCATATAGAGTATACTAGCAAATAAAAAAATGAAGCCGCAAATAATGTCCTTTTGTTGGAAGTACCTGACTTAGCTTTTCACATTTAAGATTTATGAATAATATTAGCAGTGCTTTTAAACAGTACTGTATTAGCTTTTGTATATTAATTAATGGAAAAAAATGCAATATACTTTGAGGTTCTACTGTTAATTCAGTGACTCCTGAAAACAGCATGTCCTCTCTAGAGTAGGAGAACAAAATACAGTCAGTAATCACAAACATGAAATTAATGTAAGGCACTTAACTTGTGAACATCTAAGCAACAATTGTGTGAAAAATTATCTACTTTTCTTCTCTGTTAGGAAAAACACACTTACCTTTTTCTGTAGAAAAAGTGGTTCAGGACATTCATTTCATTGAAGAAAAATTGCTATCATAAATCTGCTTCCTTCTTGCTGGGCCTAAGTTTGACACAGAGAAGCTCATATCCTTCAGTCATCTGCATCAGAAGTAATTACCACTAATGTAATTTGCTATTAAAGAGAGGCTTTAAATGTTTAGTGGTATGGAAGGAAACAGCTCCCTGAGAGAAAAAGCAAAGCCAAACTTGAGCGTACTTGAAACCGCTAAGTTACCCCAGGAAGTATAGAAGCTGTTAAATATTCTACTTATGCATAACTATTCTCTTGCTTTCGTTAGATAATACGCAATACTGAAAACCTCAACTTCCGCAAAGATTCAGAATGAAAAAACTAAGAACCGTTTTCTAGAAATTACAGGGCTTTTTACCCAGGGCACATCCGGGGGACAGTGTATTGCATGATTGTAAACAAATTATGCTTACATTGTTTTATTAGTGTGAATGCACATCTTAAGGGTCCAAGATGTAGTTAAGATAGCAAAAGTCTAACCAGCTATCTTTCTTGTAAGATTAGGTACAAATTCATCCCTCACTCAAAATCTAAAAATGTCTGAATTGGAGGTTCTACTTCAAATAATGACACAGGCTATCAAACCTCACTAGACATACTCCTTTCTGTACAAGCTTTTCAATTTCAGTCCAAACTCAGGTCTTTATATGAATAGAATTTTGGTGTGTTTGTCTTTAGACCTTCTGTCATGTTGACATGTTGGATTCCTTCATCATAGGCTTTACAAGTTAGCAATACTGAGAAGTGTTTTGCCATTGCCTTTTTCTGCACAGGCATGACTTAATGGAGATGGAAAGACTCATTGGAGAAGACAATGGTTGGAAAAGTTAAAAGAGAGAAGAGGAGGAGGAAGATGGATTGATTCCATAAAGAAAGCCACAGCCTTGAATTTACAAGAACTGAGCAGGGACATCAAGGACAGGCCAATTCAGAGGGCATTCATTTATAGGGTTGGATATGACTTGATGGCACAGCACAGCAACATGTTAACATACGATAATGATAGGTCTGTCTATTTGGCATCCCAGGAATTCCATATGAATATATCAGTAGTTAATCTCCATCCTTACTTCAAAACTATTTGCAAGCAGAGCAATAAATACTGCAACAGGTGAACAACAACCAGAGGAACTATTCTACATACACTCTTACTACATGAAGTGTCAATCTTCTGTAATGATGTATCACACATCAGTAGGTGAATCTGCCTGTACCTTTTCTGCTTGAACCACTTCACCAGCAGATACCCCTTGCCATGCGTGCATGCTCTGATGAGATTCCCAGGTACGCATGAGAAGTGGCCTGTTTTGGTGGGACTGAGAGCTCAGACTCTGAGGATGATGTGGAGTTGGCTGAACCAGATGAGGCTCAGAGCTCACACTCTGATAACAGAATTGTTGTGGTAAAGGACAGGCCTGCACCTGCAGCCTCAATCTCTCAATATCAGTCTGAGGCTGTTCTGGACAAAAGTTCAAGGACACCCATGGGGCCCAGTCTCTCTCCCACCTGTGGGAATGAAGCCTACAAAGGATGGGAGGGAGGAGATTTGCAAATGGGTAATCTCTCAGATGAAGAATACCAGCCTCCTGAAGATGTGGACCCGAGGGCCTATCATCACAGCTGCAGGGTGGCCCAATTAGGGTGTAGATGCAGGCATGTCCAGTTCCACAGTGCTCCTCCTTCCAGAGACAGGCCCTGAAGGGTTCGTAAGTAAAGCTTTGAGTAGAGGGGGGGAGAGAGGGTTCAACGTCTCTTTGTGTATGCTCAGAGGCTCATGGATGCCTAGAGTCGTCTATGTAGAACAAAGACTTACAAGAAGTGCTGGGAAGTCTGTTTGGCTGGGAGGGAACACCTAGCTCACAACACCCCTCCCAAAAATGGGGAGAACAAAGTTGGAGAATCTGTGGCCTTTAACATCTTTGTCCTGTAGGAACCAAAGAAAAGGGATAACATTTGGTGTTTTGTGACCTGACCAATCAATGGCTGTATTTTCTCATCCTCCCCATAACTGTTTACAGAATTTTGTACCATAGTACAACTGGGGAAGAGTGGGGCAGGATAGCATCAAGTGTCTGGTGGGCTTTGGCAATACAGTGTGTTGCCAATTGCAGCAGCCCAAAACACCCCAAAAATAATTGGCCAGAGGAAGGCCCCAAAAGTAGTTGGCCACAGGAAGTCCACATAGTAAAAACATCACAGTTATGCTGTCCCAGAAGGGTGGGCAGATAAGAACAAAATGAGCTTTGTGTAACCCACAGTTAACATGCTAGCCTGACCTTGAATACAGTAATGAAAGGGACAGTGGAAACTGGTTCTAGCCACCATGAAAGTTGCAAATGTGCAGGGAGTAGGAACATGGCAAGCCTGTGTGAATCTCGAGCAGATAAGAAAGACATGGGAAATGTCTGGTCCTGACAGAAGAAAAGACTCTTTGAAGCTAACTGCAGTGGGGGTGTGGCTACATTGATGCATTAGAAGTGTATTAGGTGACCTAATTGGTTACCTAGGGTATAAAATGCATGTACCAGGATGCAACTTTCGAGACACTGCTTTGGGCTGTAATAAATGAAGAAGGGGAGTCCTGCTGGATCAGACCAAGGTCGGAAATGAAAACAAGGGATAATTCAGTATGCATATGGTCAACAGTTTTTAAGAGTTAAGGTTTGAGGGTTTCCTAGAGACATTTGTGGTTTTCCAAATTTCCAGTTTCACAGAGTTCCTGCTCCTAATTTCTGCGAACGTGAAGGCCCAGCTGTATGAATGAGATTGGTGGTAGTGACTGAAAACGAACTGAGTGTGCCTTGGGCTGATGGTCCTGCAAATGTCCGAGGATGCGAGCAAACGATTGAACTACATATAATCTTGGCAAATGCAAGTTCCTCTAGGCCCGTGTTTGCCAAGTTACCATGACAAGAGAGGCAGATAAATAAATTCGTTGCCCAACTAGGAATTCACAGCAACAGCTAATAGCCTGGGGTGGTCTTTTCAAGTGCCACAAGCCTCTTTTGTTGATTTTCGCGTGAGGCTGTTACCATAGAGACCCGCGAATAGGCCAGCACCAGGGAGACGACGACGCGACTCATTGCGCAGGCGCCTTGGGAAGCACGACGGATTTTTTTTTAGGCTTTTGTCCCACACTTTTGTACACTAATGAAGACGGGTTAAGTAGTGCTTAAAAATACTGCAATGGAAATTAGGCCCGTGGCTGTTTTGGATTTCCAGCAACAATTTTAAAAAATATATTTAATTGCAACTCGGAACGCGAGCCGACGGCCCATTTTCGCTGATGTGCCACCTCCGCGGTCTCCTTAACCCTTTCCCACTCTAAAACTGGCGTTCAACCTAGAGTCCATGCGCTTTCATGCAGACCTTCAAACGCAGCGCTGAAATAATGTAAAAATAGTGCCCTAAGCCACACGGGAGACGCGAGTCTACTCTGACTTTCGCTGCGGTCGTTCACACTGCTCCACAGCTCATCGCGAGAAGCACGCCAGGAAAGAAAGAGTCTGAGGGCGTTTTCCACACCACTCTCGTGCACAGAAGCCAGCCGGCCATCCCCCAACCGCTCACGCAAGCGCGAGGCGCACTGGGGGAGCGCCGCCGAGTTTCCGCTAGGCTCGTCTGCGTCGCGTGATTGGTTGAGAGCCTGGCGACGCCCTGCGCATTCGCCGTAGCCAGAGAGAAAGGAGAAGAGACGTTTCGGCCGACGCGGCTTGAGGGCCCGGTGCGCATGCGCCTTCGTAACGGTCGCGGTGGGTGGCTGGAGTCGGGGCAGCCCCAGAAGCCTCTGCAAAGAGAGCGACGATGGATGAGCTCCAGTCCGCAGAGGAGGTAACGTCTCTTGGGCACGGCTGCGGAGGGAAGACGCGGCACGTCGTTCTGGCCCGTTATTTCCAGCAGGCGTTGCTGAGCGAGCTATGCCGGGCAACCGCCCCGGTCAGGACCCGCCCCCATCCCCATTGTTACTCCACGTCCCGATCGCTCCATTCATTCGCATCCAATATCTCGCATCCCTCGGTCGCCTGCTCGTCTCAATCCTTTCTACCCCGGGACGTCTCCCATTGAATGCCTCTCGCTAAAGCCCCGGTGATGCCGCGCCAGCCGAGATATGCGTTAGAAACGTCGGGAGCTACTTTATACAACCTCAGACCTTTGGTCTTTCTCTAGCCCATTATTGTCTGCACTGTTTGGAAGAGGGTTTCAGGCAGACATTTCTCCTGCCCTCGCTGGAGAAGCCCGGAATTGGACCTTCAGCATGTAGAGCAGGCTGTCCACCTCTTGATAGAGCTCCTTCCGTAAAGAAGTCTGAATTTGAACTGTTGTACCTTGCCATGAACTGTTGGCAACCTGTTCCATGAGTGGAAAGGAAAACAGAAAAAAGTGCACTTGCTTGCGCAATGGGGTGTTCAGGACACTTGTCACGCTAGGTACTACTGACATTGTGCAAGTGTGGGATTCTGCTAGTATATTATCAATAGAGCTAGTAGTAGTGAATACTTGAGAGCTTTCCATACTTGTCCAGCAATTACTCCATCTAGCCCATTGTTGTCACTGACTGGCAGAGGCACTTCGGGTTTCAGGCATTTTTCCTGCCCTTGCTGGAAATGCTGTGGACTGAAGCTGGGACCTTAGGTGGTTGATGTCATTATTCACTGTATATGATAAATGTATGGGTAGAAGATGCATGTGTGCGGGCTAAAAGAACATCAGCCCTCTGTGCACTTGAATTAAGAGTCAGGGTTTGTTCTAAAGTCATCTTTGCAAAACAGGAGATAAATCCCACATACACCATTTTGTGCAAGGCAGGAACTTCTATTTGGAATGTGAGAATCCTGTTGGGTCAAAGCAATGAGATGGCTGATGTTTACAGGAAGGGGTTTAGAATGTATTTGTGCATGGACACCAGAAAGGCCTTTGTTTACCTCTATGGATAGGTTCTCAAAAAATCAGCCATGGCCTTGTATGTGCTCCCTAAACCAGCACCCATGTGTGTTTGCAATCACTTTCTTAAATACACTTGAAGGGATGTTAAGCATATGGAGCTATGAAACATATTTCTGTCTGAGTGCTTAGGTTTGCTACAATCACTAGCAAATCACCCGGTCCTCTTATGATCTATGGTAATATGTCTAATTCAGTAGAAGCAAGCTGTTAGATGCTCAGGTATGTAATAATACCTAGTAAATATTTGGAACATTACTTTGCTTTTTGTCACTTTTGAACAGTGCAAGTTGCACATTTATTTTAAATGTTATTTCTGATTTTTTTTAAAGACTGCATTCGTTGTGGATGAAGTAAGCAACATCATAAAAGAGGTAGGTTAGCATTTCTGCCACTCTTTACAATAATGGAATTTCATATACACAATTGCATCTGCCATATTCTCTTTCAGTTCCCTTGAAAAAGGTAAATAAATCATATTGGCACTGTGAAAAATACACTTTGCACTAAATTGTAAGAATAAGCTCATGTATTGACAAGGTACTATCACCTTGTATCTCAAGAAACTGTAATTGTGCATCACAGGATGCAGTATTTAAAATACTGCTCTAAAAACTGATGTATGCAAATTGAGCTAATGGAGTCCTGTTCAAATAAGCAATTTTGTCTGAGATAGTTCAAGGTGATATTGACTCAGCATGCATTCCAGTGTTCTGAACAGTGCAAATGTGTGGCCTGGATCAGATTGTGCTATGGTGATAAAGCTCTAGACAGTAAACATGGCTACTTCCACAAATAAAAGAGGATTAGGACCAAAATAACAGCTTGTATGCTTAGGCAGTGGTAAAAGGTGCAGCTGAATTTCCACCCTCCAGTTATTAACGTTGTAAGAAATTCCACTGATATTCAGCCATGGCTTTTCAGGGACTGTAGGGAGGGGGCTATAGGGAGAAGAAGTGGGTGGGAAATCTTTGTGGGTTCCATTCAGTGCCATTCCAGGGAAGAGGTTTTCCAGAAGCAGATTTCCTCCCCCTTTCCTTCCCACAGCAATCCGCATAGCCTTGCAACAGCGCTACACAGAAAGTCAGTGCTCCTGGGCCACAGCTCCTGAATAGAGCTGTAGCCCAGGAGAATGAGGGGGAAGGGGGATGCCTGAAGGTTAGACAGTTGCACATTTTATGAGTAGCTCTCTGTGTACTAGCAGAATGACCCTTTCTCCATTTCCAGGCTTTTTCATTTTATGGGATGTACATGCATGCATGTGGACTTCTGCTATCCTAACATGCGCTTTGATTGCCCCCTTAATTATTAGCAACCCAGTGTAGAACTTTTCTCATGTAATATGAGCTGACATCTAGCCTAATCTTCAAGCTAATTGAATGTACTTGGGTTGCAGCTGTGATATCAGTGAATTCATTCCTTAATATTCGTTCTCTGGCTTAAACGTGGCCATATTTGCCCTCCCGCCCCTTGAGATTGGCAGCAGGGGCTCTCCTCCGGGAGCCCTCCGTAAGAGATACTAGGAAGCAAAGTACCCGGAGGAGGGCCTTCTCTGCGGTGGCGCCCCATCTGTGGAATGCGCGCCCCAGAGAGGTCCGCCTGGCGCTGTCATTATTTGTTTTTCGGCACCAGGCCAAGACCTTTTTATTCAAACAGTATTTTAATAATCTTTAATATTTATAGTTTTAATTATGCAGCCAGTGTGTTTCCAAGTTTCAATTGTAAATTGTAATTGTAAATGTTATTCTATTAGTTTAATTTATGTTGTGAGCCGCCCCGAGGCTGTGTAGCAATGGGGAGGGCATATAAAAACTTTAAATAAATAAATAAATGGAGTGGGCTGATTTGTTCCATTAAATTCCAGCTTCAGAAATAAATTGCTAGTGACTTGTAACTATAGAATCAGTGTGATTGGTAGATTAGGGCAAATGTACCGTACTTAAAGAGTTGCCAAGGTGCCATACCTTGTTTACTAATCCTGTGTTGTGGCAACTTTCCTGACAGCTGCTGGAGGCTTTTGAGTGTTCACCAGATACACTCTATGGGTTACAGAGCAGAATGTGCATGGCATTTTTGTTAAGCAGAGTTGCAATTGGTGACTTGTTGAGCTTGTGCAAAACCCCCACATGCACATTTGAATGCTATGTTAATATGCTCGAGTGCTGTCAAATTCTGTAGCCAACTGTAGATCCACCTGTTTTTTGTTGGTTTGTTTATTGTTTCACTTTATATGCTGCTACAATAGCCCACAATTGGATTCTCTGAGCAGCTTACAAAACAGTTAATACATTTTTAAAATCTATAAAATGGAACATTAACATTAAAATGCAAAAAATGTAAAGAAACAAAATATGTAAATTTTTAAATAAAATTAGAATTAAGGTAGAAGTATAAGGTATAGTCAAGTTAAAATCAGAATTTAACTCTAATCAGCTATTCAGATAGCCAGAGAAAAGATATGTCTGCCTGGTGCTGGAATGATGACAATGATGGAGCCAGGTGTACCTTTCTAGAGAACCTATTCCAGAGATGGGGCATAACCACCAAGAAGGCCTTTTTTGCTAGTTTGCTAATCAGGATGTTGCGGGGCACTTTGTCAAATGTTTTGCTTAAGTCAAACTAGATTATGTCCTCAGCATTCCCACAGTCCATCAGGGTGGTTACCCAATCAAAAAATGAAATTAGTCTGGCAGGATTTGTTCTTGAGGTATTCATGTTGGCTTCTAGTAATCACTGCATTGTTTTCAAGGTGTTTGCTGACTGACTGCTTTATTATTTGCTTCAGAATCTTCCCAGGGATTGATGTCAGACTGACTGGCCTGTAGTTCCCAGGTTCTTTTTTCCCCCTTTCTTGAAGATGGGGACAACAGTAGCCCTTTTCCAGTCATCTGGCACTTCTTCTGTTCTCCATGATTTCTCAAAGATAATAGACAGTGGTTCTGAGAGTTCTTCTGCCAACACCTTTATGACTGGGGTGGAGCCCTTGAGATCTGAACTCGACCCGATTAGATGATCCTTGACCATTTGCCTATCAATCATGAGTTTCCATTCTGCTCTTTCAGCTTGTACTTCCCCTTCATCATGAAGGTCATACAGTGGTACCTTGGCTCATGAAATTAATCCATTCCACAACTTTGGTCACAACCCAAATTGGTCATGAGCCAAGTCAAATTTCCCCAAAAGGTTCAATGTAAATTAGATTAATCCATTCTGTAACCATTTTTTTAAAATCACAAAAATGTGAAACAAAGTGACAAAGAACAATAAATCTCTCCCCCCCCCCCCAGCACGATCACAGCCATCCCCACCCCCAAGCACAACCGCAATCGTGCCCATGCAGGGAAGACAAGTGCGATCGCCACCCGATGCAGAGTTTGCAGCCTGAGGAAATTTTTTTCTGAAATTTCTGTTCGCAACCCGATTCGGTCGTGAACTGAGGCATTCGTGAGCCGAGCTACCACTGTAGTTCTTCGTTTGCAATAAGACTGAGCCAAAGTAGGGAAACCACTCAAAAGATGTCAACTCAAACAGTTTGATTCATTAATATGGCAATTTATTTTGGAGCTTTGGTATGCATTAGAGTCACTTTTGTAGTCAGTGTTGTATGGAAATCATTTGCGTGCTGATTTGAGAATTTGAAATTAATGCATTTATTTAAACATGCTATTTAAAAATTAGAATTCCTTAGTATGATGGAAAGATGAACCACTTTTCATTTGCAGGCAATAGAAGGGACAATAGGTGGTAATGCATATCTGCACAGCAAAGTGAACCAATGGACTACAAGTGTCGTAGAGCAAATTCTAAGTCAGCTAACAAAGCTGGGGAAACCATTCAAATATGTTGGTAAGTGAATGACTTTCTGTTTACTCTTGATAGGATAGAAATGGTTTCGAGTAAAACTGATGATTTAAGCCTAAAGCAGAAATTGTGGGCTGGGGGAATTCCCTTAGTAAGCAATCTCAAAACTGCTGCGATCTGTAAGTCACAAAAAGTGATATTATAGAACATGATTTTAAGGCCAAAAAGCAGACATGGATGTTAATGTGTAGCTCGTGCAATGACTGCATCTCTTTCCTAACGGCTCTCTGGTCTTCTGCAATTTACAGTGACCTGTGTTATTATGCAAAAGAACGGTGCTGGACTTCATACAGCAAGCTCTTGTTTCTGGGACAACTCCGCTGATGGTACGAGAATATTCTTATTTTCTCTTAGCTTCTCCACTGAAATGTTTCTTTGGTATTTGTGCAAGTCTGAAAGCTGTTTTGGCACACATATGCAAGGGGCAAGTTGTACTGTTACAAGTAATATAGGCTGTGATCCTATATGTGTTAAACTTGAGAATTAGCACCATTGAATAGGAAATTTACTTATAAGTATGTTCAGAGTTGCACTACTGCTCTTTTATTGTCCCAGAATAGACGATAGAAGTCTTGTGCTAAACCTTTAGATTACTACAAAACTATAAAGTATGTCTGGCTTTGGTTGTGTGCTGGTCAGATGGCTTCAGTTTTCGCACTCCTGGATTATGAGAAGTTTGTCGGCCTTCTGCTAAAATGGCTTTGATCAAAATTTAACAAACATGGTATAGCACATGAGGCAAAAATAACCATACTGTTTATATAGGCAGCTTTATTCCACACATCTTAACTATGTGGCTCTAAATTTGATAGACCGATGTATTTTTTGTATGTGTTCTGCTGCCACACTAACTAAATTATCATCTTTGCAGGAACCTGCACTGTGAGATGGGAGAACAAGACTATGTACTGTATTGTCAGTGCCTTTGGACTTGCAATATGATCGCCTTGGAATTCTTCAGCCTTTGTGTCATCACTTCCATTTCACAAGTCCACTAAAACTGTGAAATCAATGAACAATTTTGTTTTTAAGAGTTACTAATTTCTTCCAATGAGAAAATGAGAGAGCAGTTTCTGTGCTGTTACTTTACTACATCACCCCTTATCCATATCAAAGCACTCTCTGTCTTAACTCACTAAGGACTCTTTCTCAAGGTGCTAAAACCTGAAATTGCTGCAGTTCTTCAGCTTTACTCAGACTGGTTTGAATAAGACTAATTTTCACACTTTATAGTTTTGTTTGTTATTAAATTATTGAAGTTCTGAGCAAGCGTTGCTTATATGTGTACTCATACTAGAGACTAACCATATGCTATTAGTACCCTGATCCTAATAATTTTGAAATACTGATGATTTTGAGTTGTGCCTATCTCCTGTCTAACTCCCCAGCACTTTTCAGGGCTTCCTTGTGCCCTTAGACGTATTGAAATTACAGAACTGGCATCACTCCAACAGGTTAAATCAGGTAGCTGGGTATCTTAAAACTCCCACATAAAAGTGCAGATTTACTCTAAGCTGAAACATTTAGAATGATCTAATATGAGTATGAGTTGGACAACTGTAAATGACCTAAGACAATTTTACTGAAAAATATTAAATCTTTTGGGGACAATGTGAATAAAAAAGGTGTAGGGGAAGAAGGTGCTGAATGCAAAGATCTTCCTCTACTACTGGCTCAAGAGTTGAAAGATAGTCCACAACCTAGTTGACTGCAGAAAATAGTGTTTTGTTTTTCACATTCTGAAAATGCAATTTACTAATTGGCCCAAACAGAAACAAAAAATTCAAATGCTGTACAAATTTCTGGTGTGCCTTAATTTATAGAAGCAGTCTCACTAAGAGAAAGAACAGTGAACGTTTGATGGTTCATTCTGGGTTCCCAGTATTGACACAGGACTTATACCAGCCAATCATTCATTATAAACTTTTAAGTCAACTTCCTAATCCAGCAGGAAGCTGAACAAGACATTCTCTGAATGCTGAGCTGTAAATACTCCATATACCCAAAATACTGCCAGAAAGCAGTACTTTCCTTCCAATGCATTTTCTAGCATACATAAGCCTGTGCAATGATTCAAAATAGCTTACATGCAAGCCTTTGACTTTATTTACCTGCTTCAAGTCTTCCAGACACCATTAGCCATCTATGGCTAAATTTCTCAGATTTTAGACCTCCCCCCCTTTTTTTGCCTTAGTTGGTAGAGAATGGGTTCAGATGCCTATCTGCACGCAGGTTCCAGCAGCAGTGTTCTATTACTGAAGAAAGTAAGCCATGCTGGATCAGACTAGTAGTCCATCCAGTTCAACATGCTGTTCACATGGTGGCAAACCAACTACACAGGATCCCTTGAGCAAGATGGGTACTAGACATCTGCCTGCCCAAGCTCCTCAGCAACTTGTGTATACAGGCATGCTGCCTCCGGTAAACAAAGTAGTACATAGCCAGAAAGACTAGTAGCTACCAACAGCCTCCTGTTAGAATTCTGTTCTCTGCTGCTTCTGCCCCCTGGTGTGGCTGCTACCTGAATGACCACCTTAAAGTAGCTCTGGCCCAGCCAGTTTGCCTAGCAGAATTCCAGCTATCCCAGCTGACCCAAAAAGGTTTGGAAGTCCTATATTTGCTTTTCAGTATTTCATACAAAGGGCACATATTGATCTCTTCTGCATTATCACTGCAGCCCACCATGGCTCCTTTAAGCCATATCAGACTGCAGTATTCTCAATAAGTTCTTGAATAGTCAAACCAAGAAGAGGCAATGGGTTACTTGATGGCTGTTTAACCGGTTTTTTTTTTAAATCCCCTTTTAGGTTTGGAAGGCACAAGTTGTGGCTTGAATATTAAATATGGTCATATACAGGACCACACAATTATGCAAACCAGATTACAATGGTGGGCTTTATCTTGCCAGCATATAGCATGCATGGAAATGTGTTTTACATGCTGCATGTTCTGAAGACCACAAAACTGGAAATGCTCAGATTTTTAGGGACATTTTTCTGGATCTTAAAGCATTCTTACCTTATTGAAAGAATGCACTCATTTTTAAATACTGGTTTTGATTAGTTGACTTAAGGCAGAATCCTATGGCTACCAGCTGCAGACAGAAGACCTCAAAGCCCTGGCTCCAACCTCAAAAAAGTGCTCTGAGGTCTTCTCTGCCCGTACAGCTGGTGCAGTTCTTTCCACTGCAGCTCTGGGCTTCAGTGCAACTTCAGAGCCATCACTGGGGAGGCAGGATGAGGGGAAAGGAGAGCCTGTTCTCTGACAGGAGGAAGTCCAGCAGTGCTTCAGCCTCCACTCCTCATGAACAAGGGTGGAAAAAGATGGCTGAAATCAGCTATTTACATGTTTTGGAGGGTGAGAGGAATGTGAAGACAAGGATTAACTCTGCAATCATGTGCTCCATTGGATTGCTGTAATCCTCAAATATGGAAGGTAACAGGCCTTCAGATTGGATGGTGTCCTTATCAAATTTGACTACATCAAAAGGGGTTTTTTTTTTTGCTGGATTTCTTCTTGCCAGCTAATGGTTCAGATAGCACTAGTCCTGAGATCTTGTAGAACAGGACGGCATACAAAAGCTTTAGACAGATAGATAGAATTAGTGTAGAAACTTACCCGCTAAAAATCTGAGTAGTTTAACAGTTTTGCATTTTAGAACAAGCAAATGCCATTTATCTGCTTCCATCAAACCCAATAAATTAAAAAAGTTAGCAACAGATCTACTGCAGTTTCATTGTTGCCAGGACAGTTTTAACTAGTGTTGCATACTGTTGGACGGTTTTACATATGCACAAGTGAAAAATAAGAGGTTCTATTTATTGTGTGCAGCAAGAATACAGTTGAGACAGGTACAGAGATTATGTATAAAAGTTTATTAAGAACATGTTGAACACTGATTTTATTATGCACAGTCTCTAAAGCATTTCAGCACTCAGTGTTCACTAAAAGTAAACTTGAATTTTGCTCTTATATTCATGCTCAGGAAAGTAATTTCCAAGATTCCTGGTGACTCATCGTAACAAACAGCATAGTCACTGAAGCATTAAGATGACACATGATAAACCATGCAATGCCTCTCAAAAAGCAAAATGGTATATACAGCTTCTCATTAACATGAATGTTCACTTTAAAAATGCTCTAGCCACTTGCTTTATAAAATATTTTCTAGAGATTCACTTCATTTTACATGAAGTACTATGTACAAATGCTGAGTTCAGTTGTACAATGTTATATCAATTACTTGAAACATAAGAGTTAAAAATGCAATGCACAGGAAAACACAAATGCAACAATCTGCAAAGTTTGCAAAGACAAAACAATTGTCTTTTGGCTCTGTCCCCTCTACAATCCTCTACCCCTAATATGGGAGTAAGTCCCATTGAACCCAATGGGATTTGCTTCTGAGTAGACATGTATAGGATTAGGCTACAAATCTCTTGCTACACCAGTCTTTCATTGTGTCTCAACACAAATTTCTTGCTCCCAGAAATAATGAACTGAGTTACATTTAGGGCTAAGCCAAAATTTTTCATTAATGTTTTGGCAGTACTACGAAAGTTTCACTTTCAACCATTTTGAAATATCTGCAACAATTTTGGTATAAAGTTACCTTCTCAACCCCAGGGATTGGATACATGGCAGTATGACATTGTCTTCCTCCACTACATAATCCCTGACTTGGCAGAACACAACTACTCCGGAAGAAAGCAGCAGCAAACAGGCAGTGTAGGCAAGAGGGAAGTTAAAGGGTCCCCAGTCCCCATTACTAGGGAAGCCAGTGGCACTGAAATATTTAATAATTTAAATATTAACACTGTCTCTTGAGAGGCTGGGACTTCCTCCTTAACAGCTAATCCCCCTTAACAATTCAAGCTGGACTACATTAAATTCAACCTTCATTATGCTCTCTGTTGGCTTTACTGACACTGAATGTCTAAATTCAAGACCATCACATTGTAGGACTAACAATTTACATCTTCAGATACTTTGCCACAGATAGGTTTACAGTGCTGTGACAACTGGTAAGACAAAAGAGAGCCATCGTAAACACGGGTAAGAAAGGAATGTATCTAAACTAGACATGTTCCTTAGCATGTCACATACTTGGAGCAGGCAGTGTTTGTGTTTTCTATAGCTAGAGAAGGTACGGGAAGGAGGGCACATTAAAGAAGACTTTTGCACCAGCAGTACACTAAACAGGACTTTGAACACTCATCACAGAAGCTACTTCATCAAGTGAAAATCCTCAACACAAACTCAGCAATGTTTTCTGTAACAAAACCCTTCTGTTTTCTATATGGTGCTAATTTCTTCCACTGTAGCCGAATTATTTTTGCAATTATTTACTGAGGATTGCTTATTTGATGTGATGAGGTTCTAGCTTAAGTTCACCCAAAAGTGTAATTAATTGTTTAGCAACTATTTATGGAACCAAACTAAACATCATAACAAAAGGCACTTGCATCAACATCTTCCTCAGCCAACTGCAGGGTAAAGAACCAGGCCTCCAAATAACTCTTTGTCAAAAGCCTTGGTTTAGAGCAAAAGAATTTAAGAGCAGCCATGTTGGATCAGACCATGGTCTAAGCTAATCCAGCATTCTGTTCACACAGTATTCATACAGAACTTTTTACATCCTGCTAAATCCAACCACATCCATGGGTAAGTGTTCTAACTCACAATTTAATAAGCCTGAAAATAGTGCCATCTCTCAACTGGACATGAAGAGTAAATGACAACTCAGGGTTTCATCACAGAACATCGCTACCTCCTTGTATTTTTGGCATTTGCAATAAAGAAACCATTCCTTATTCCCGTAGTTTTGTTCTGAGCTTTCACAATTACACTGTGACATTTTAAAATGTATAGCCATTCATATGAGGAAAAGCAGTAAAACACTTGCATCCTGGGAGAGGTTTTTGAATCAAAGTGCAGTTGGTTCAACTCTATGTCAAGAATTTGAATATTAACAGAGAAAGGGAAAAAAAGTAGTGCCTAGTATCATCCCACACCATTTAAAGCTTTTGTCTAATGAACAGCTCAAAAAAACTAAGACTGCAAATCTTAAGTCTGTACCTTAAGACTTTAAAGTTAAAATATTTTCATTTAAAAAAATGATGTTGATCTTTTACAAAATCACACATTGTAATGCAGCCAGAGTTAAGTACTTCTTACTGGCCTAAGAGAGATTTAAAAAGTGCTTAATTGTCCCAGAAAAATCAGGACATATTTAAATAATTCTGGCTAGACTGTGCTCTAGTTATTAGTTAAGTATCAAATCATTGTAGAGCCCAGTAAGCAAAACTGGTTAGTTTGAAAGGGAAGCAGAAATATTTTGCAAGTGGAAAAACAAAGAAACACCCCCCCACACACACACACACACACAACGGATCCAAATACTATGCCAGTTCTCATGCAACAAGAGTTCATGGGTTAAACCACCCACGAGTTATTGGAAGCAATCAGGAGAAAGTCTGGATTTAACATGGGCTGTTTAGTCCCTACACAAGCCAGTGGTCAGAGTCTGGATGACATACTCAGAAACTTATGAAGGAGCCACTCATGCACCGCTCAGCAAAAGCAGAGGTGGCAGGCATGCTGGAGGGAGCACATCCATCCTTAGTAGAAAATGGAAAGAGAAGGAAGCTGCACTTTTGCTCCTAGTCCAATTCAGTGGGATTTGTGGGGGAAGAAGCAATTATAATTGCATGGCAAACCTCACCACATCAAAAGTTAAAGTAGTATTACATTCCTAAGGTTCAACATGCTTTAAAGATGTTTAATTTAAAAAATTATGCAGCAATTTATTGTTTCTAGAATTAAGGGGAAGAAGTAGATTTGGAACCATGGTAAGTAAAAATAGATATTCAAAAACTTAGAAAATAATGTTAATAACATTCACACCAAAAGACAAAGTAGTACAATTTTTCTACATGATTATTAGGAGTCAACAAAAAGAGGTATAAAAATTAAGAAAAGTACATCTGCTTTTCCAGTGTTTTATGACATACCCTTCATGTAGCAAAGGGGCTTGCGTTACTCAATGAAGCTATGAGCTATGCCATGCAGGGTCACCCAAGACGGACAGGTCATAGCAGAGAGCTCTGACAAAATGTGATCCATTGAAGAAGGAAATGGCAACCCACTCCAGTAGCTTTGCCATGAAAACCCGATGGACAGTACAAAAAGGGAAAAAGATATGACGCCGGAAGATGAGTCCCTCAGGTCGGAAGGTGTCCAATATGCTACTGGGGAAGAGCAGAGGGCTAGTACTAGTAGCACCAGAAAGAATGAAGCGACTGGGTCAAAGCCGAAAGGACACTCAGTTGCTGATGTATCTGGTGGTGAAAGGAGAGTTTGATGCTGCAAAGATCTATACTCCATAGGAACCTGGAATGTAAGATCCATGAATCAAGGTAAGCTGGATGTGGTCAAACAAGAGATGACAAGACTGAACATCGACATTTTAGAACTATGGACGGAGGTTCGCAACATTGTCCAAGAGGCAGCAACTAAAACCATCCCAAAGAAAGCAAAATGGCTGTCTGAGGAAGCTTTACATATAGCTCAGGAAAGAAGGGAAGTGAAAGGCAAGGGAGAAAGGTAGAAACAATTGAATGCAGAATTCCAGAGAACAGCTAGAAGAGATAAGAATGCCTTCTCAAATGAACAGTGCAAAGAAATAGAAGAAAACAATAGAATAGGGAGGACCAGAGATCTCTTCAAGAAAATTGGAGATATGAAGGGAACATTTCATGCAAAGGTGGGCATGATAAAGGACCAAAATGGCAGGGACCTAACAGAGGCAGAGGAGTTTAAGAAGAGGTGGCAAGATTACACAGAAGAACTATAC